CCCCGAAGCTTATTATAAGGGCGATAGCCGGAAAGGATAATCCGTCAGACTTAGGGACCAAATCCCTGACAAGGGAGAAGATACGCAAATACATGCTAAGTCTCGGATATACAGGCGAGTATTTGACTCAAGATGTTCAAGAAGTTCAAGAAGCTGAAGTTCGAAGATCAAGAAGCGTCACAAGACCTGATGAAAAGAAGATTACAAGGATCATCCAGACGGTCACTACAGCTGTGTTGTTAACGTTGAGTGAAGCAAGAAGATTTGGTGAAGAAGGTGAACAAGGACTGGGAAGAGCAAGTGCAGTGATGTGTATGATGTGCATGATGGCAGCATTGTTGTACATGTGCATATGTTCGACGCAAGTAATGCAAAGGATTACTTCCGAAGCCGTTTTGCTCAAGATTTTCAAGAAGAATCTCCTTGGAAAGGAGAAAGTTCGAGCAATGGCTGATGATGACGCGTTGAAAGTGATCATTACCGACAAATGCAGAAGCGTCAAGTCAATTGAGTACATCAACAGATTGCTCAAGCAGAAGAGAGAAGACAGACCCTCAGCAGATGACATTTGGAAGCTTGTGAATCAGTTCAGTTTGGAAAGAGAAGACAAAGCCACAGATGAAGAAGCTGAGAAAGAAGAGGAGCGGCCGAAGAAGAAAGAGGAAAGCGAAGCTGCGTCAGATCCAGAGTCCGATGGAGAAGAGTCAAAGGAAAGTGAGTCGGCGGAAGATGATGGAGATGACAAAGCAAAGAAGGCTAAGGAAAGAGAAGTGGAAGAAGATTTGGAAAGCTTCAAGAAGACAGCTGAAGAGTTGGAAAAAGTCAAAGATCATGGACAAGCGATTCGAGGAAATCACCGAGCCAGGTGAAGCAGCCAAAGAAAGAAGGCAAAACGTGGTATCTGCGGCGAGTCAAATCGCAGATGAAGCAGAAGAAAAGAAGGAAGAAGAGAAAGAGGAGAAGAAAGAAGAAAGGAAAGAAGAGAGTAAGGATGAAGAAAAAGAGACCAAGGAGAGCAGGCCAGATCCCGAGAATGATTTGGTTGAATCCTCCGGTGAGGAGGATCGTGAGGCAAGAAAAGCTCTCAAGGATCAATTCGATGTAGAGAAGATGTCAATCTTTGAGACGGTAATGTGGAGCACTAACTTGCAAAGTGTTCAGAAGAGCTTACCGACTGAAAGCTTGGAGAAGGAGTTTACTGCATGGCAAGAGGCCATTCGAAGACCGGTAGCACGGCTACCAACAGGATTCGGTTTAAGAATGAATGACCTACTCTCGAAGATTGAAGGTGAGATCGGAGACTACGTCGAAAGTGTCTCAATTATGACAGAAGACGAGGCAAATGCAGAGAAAGAGTACAAGCAAGCCAAGAAGGACCTGGGAAGGTTCGAGAAAGAGCTTAAGAAAGAGATGGAGGAACGACTGGGAGGAAAAAGTGAAGATCCTCCGAGAAAAAGAAGAAGGAGTCGTAAGCGCGCGTGCAGATGTTCAAAAGACAGTGCATGCAAGGGAAGCGCTAGAGAAATTCGGCGAAATGGTTCAGACAGCGGATAGACTGTTGACGACGATGAATGAGGAGTTTCCGCTAGATCTGTATACGAAGCCGCAAGAGGATCAAGAAAGGGAGCGAAAAGCTCTAGCTCAGTTGATGGCTAGTATCAAAAGAAAGCGGGACACGAGCAGTCCAGCAACGCCATCTACCAAGGCAAAGCCAATGCCAAAGAAGTTGCCAGATAAGTTCAAGCACCTCAAGGAAGGAATTTCTGAAGAAGCAAGAAAGGTAGCGAATACTAAGGAGAAGCAGTTAGCTTTCAAAGAGAAGTTGAAGCAAACGTTCAGAGAGATCCCTGATGAAGTGATAGAGAAGGCAGCGCAAGCAAAGTTGGATCTCAGCAAGACGAAGCCAAGCGAGCCTGAAGGAGAACCGCCAGAGAAGGCGAGTAAGGTGAATCCACAATGGCTCAAGAAAGAAGCTTTTCAGAGTACAAAGTACATGCATTGCGTCTATTGCAAAGGCACGGACGGGCATAAAGCTCCGGATTGCCCGGAAATGGAGAAAGCGGTCAAGAAGTACTGTGAAGGCTTACCAAGACCAGCCAAGGACAATGACTCGCGGAGAATATTCTGCAAGTGCTGTTGGTTGATGTTCACGCACATCAAGTTCAGAAGTTACCAGTACAAAGGATGGGGGACACACACCCCGGACATTTGTCACCACAAGGCTGACGTTCAGGATTACGTGAAGAGCAATGAGTACAAATTCCCCGACGAGATCAAGGAAATGAAAGAAGCAGAAAAGTCAACAAAAGGCTATGCACCCAAGAGCAGTTGGAGCACAGAAGCAGTGAAGCCGAAGAAGAAGACAGCTGATGAAAAGAAGAAAGATGAAAAGGATGAAAATGTCAAGAAGAAGAAGAAGACCGAAAAGTCCAAGGACAGCAAGGACAAGGAAAAGAAGAAGGACGATAAGAAAAAGAGGAAAAGCGATTCGAGTTTCGATCAAGAGCGGGCCGAGAAAAGGCAACAAGGAGAAGAAGAACTGATTTAAAACCTCAGCAAAGGTTGCGGTTTGAAGTAGCGACAGTGAGGGCGGAAAGCCGCCCAGGCAAAATGTTTCACAAAGCGCAAGAGTCTCACACCGCTAAAAGCCTGTGAGAAAGGAAGTGCGAGAAGAGTGAGGACAAAAGTCCAAAGCAGAAGGTGGCAAGCCAAGAGCCACGTGCCAAGTGTTTCAAGATGCTAACAGGAGACCACGTAAAGGCTCCTAAGCACACGACAAAAGGCACTACGAGCACTACGAAAGAAGCCAAGGCTGAAAATGCCAAAAGTTTCTGAAAGCGCCAATGGGCGAGACCAAAAGGAGTTGCGGACTACAGCAACGGCCGCGACGTGGAAAATAGTGAGTGCGCCCGAGTTTTCAATAGGACAGTAAAAGCCATGCCAGCAGAGTGTGGATTTCACGCATTTGATTTCTAGGACATCCGCAAAGCTGAAGAAGAAAGGAAGAAGCCAAAGACGGTTAAAAGTGCTGAAAAGCTTGCGAGAAGTGAAGGTTAAAGCTCACAGGAGCATGCGAGAACCGTGGAGAATGTAGGAAAAGTTTCACAAAGATCGCATTACACGACAAAGCTGTGTACGCGATGAGGGCGTAACAGATAGTTCAATTTTGCCCTATGTATAGAAATACACAGGAATCCAATGTTTCACCGAAGGTCAAACCTAGGCTCAAGACAGCCCGACAGCGGAGCTTCAGAGTGGGAAAAGAATCCAAGCTCGCGCCGTGGTTATAAGAAGTATACTGGTGTAAGGGCTTAAACTTTCAAAGTTGCATTGCTTGCTGCTTGCTCTTGTTTTGGATGCTGCACGGGCAGCACCCCAGCTCCTTGGCAGGAGCCTGCACCCCAGAGTGCATGTGCATGCAGCAGGATTGTTCCAATGTGTTTTTGGAGAAGCTGGTGCCGAGAGTGCAGCCGAGAGATAGGGCAGTGTTCCTTGTGTTTGCTTACCTTGGTTTCCTCTCAGGCCGGCCGGTTGCCGCAACTGTAGAGTCCTCTTGGACCTCCTTGGCAGGAGGTTGGGCCTCTCAGTCGGAGTGTGTGCAGCATGTTCGCTGATGGACTTTTGTTTTTTCTTTACATTTTTTAACAATGGTTTTTTAACAGTTTTTAACTGTTGTTCAAAACTAATGGTTTCCTTTTAATTATATATTGAAACCATGGTTTTAACAGGTGTTAAAAACTGTTGAAAAAAAGTTGTTAAAAAATGTTAAAAACTTATAAAATGCCAAAATGTGTTTCAAATAACAGCTTCATATACCCGTTGCCAGGCTGGACTGCAAGTTGGAGGCAGCGGCAAGCTTTCTGCATGTTCCTGCCAATGACTGTCTATGCATGATTCTTGCATATTTACCACTGATGTATACATGCAATAGTTCCATGTACAGGGACACAAAGGTAACTTGACATGCCGTGTTGCACATGCATGTACATATGTGTAGATGTACTTACATGCATACAATAATACTTACATATATATGTATATACGTACATATATATATATATGTATATATGTATATATGTATATTTGTATAATTGTATATACAAGTACACATCTACACATGTGTACATATATACATACATATGTACATATACATATATACATATAAACATATGTACATATACATATGTACATATGTATATATGTCTATAAAAATATATGTATATATGTACATATGTGTGTGCATATTTACACTTAGACATATGTATGCATGCATGCATGCATGCATAGATGTATATGTATATGTGCATGTATATACGAAACTGTCTATAGGCATATATGCATGTGTCTGTGCATATCTGCACGTGAGTGATGTGCTTTGCATGCATGGGTATTGAATATGTATCCGAAGCACGGTGTCAAGACCCTTCACCAAGCGGTCGAGAAAAAGGATACCACCATGCCATGGTATTACGGCTGGGTGTATTGAACGAACGAGGAAGAACATCGCAGTTGGTATGATCAGCAGCAGGATCAGGATTGGTCTGATCGCCGCTGGGATGATCAGCTGCAGGATGACGATTGGTCTGCTGGCCGCCGTTGGTGGTACGACCGCAGCTACGGCGACTACGGCCGTGATTGGGTGGACTACGAGCAAGACTACGAGACACCACAAGAACACCGGCATGTACAGGTGTTAAGTCGGTGCACATGGAAGCTAGGCAGGTGCCGCAGCAAATATGTTTTTCGATACAAATCACTAAGAAAAAAAGTCATGAAGCAGTAAACATCCGGTCCTGAAGCAGCAAGCATCCGCACAGATGAATTCCCATTGCACACTTCCTGCTGGCAACCTCCGGTTGCACGGTACAGGACGCCTTCTGAGGAGGATGGAAAAAAGATCGTAGAGCCACATATCAAGATCTCCTTTGTAGGAGCTGGATATAGACGTTGTATCTGATTCGTTGTTGTTTGCTTTGTTGCTGTTCTTGCAGATCACATGCATGCAATGCTCCAAGTTTCTGAAGTTGGCCAGCCCCGAGCTTCCATCGATCATGGCCCCGAAGGCAAAGTCGGCCGGAGCCAAGGCCAAGGCCTCCGGTCAGGTCCAGAAGACGGCGGCGAAGACGGCCGCCAAGAATAAATGGATGGGTGGCGGCAGCAGGGTCAAACGTGAGAAGTCGACCCCACCGAAGGCAAAGCGGGAGGCAACGGGGGCGCCACCGCCGGACCCGGCAACGACCGCCAATTCGGGGGGCACCCTCGGTTTCGCCCGAGGAACGATATCTGCTCTGCTCACCAGCTTGAAGTATCAGGCAAGAGCATTCCGGAACAGAAGCAAAATGCCCAGAAGACATTGGAGGAGATCAGATGTGTTTGGCTTCTGTTTCTTAAATGTTTTGATTTCTATACTTCCTTCCCCTCCTTGGAAGAAGTACGAGCAAGCAGAGTCGGTGGAGAAGAAAAGGCTTATTTTGTCCAGGTTGCAAGAGTACGGGGTCAAGAATTGCAGCTGGGTCAACACCCTTCACCAAGCGGTGGAGAACAAGGATACCAACAACGAGCGGACACGGACCAACATGTACACGAGGATTCTTGGTGCTGTTGATTCGCATGGTTTTTGATGGAGCTAAAAAGCTAGATCTATGCATGCTTTGTCGTCCAAGGTCAAAGATCCTCGAGCTCAAAGGCATCGAGTGCGACGGGGCCACGGACATTGAGAAGGACGAGATCTTGGAGGAGGTCTTGAAAGAAGCAGAGGCTGAGTTCCAGTACGATCGCAAGGTGGAGAAGCACGCCAAGTTTTCTTGCTTGAATAAGTGCGTGTTCAAGTACACCGAGGGCATGACAGAGACCACAGCCACCGAGAGCACAAAGAAAATGGAAAGCTGGGCGAACAACCTGAAGAAAGGGAACCAGCTCAGCTTGGAGCTCCTTTCCAAGGAACTCCGCCCCCAGTGGGAGCAGTACGGATGCAATGGAGAAGTTGAGCGATTCCTACAAGTTGTTGGCGGAGAAACACAAGGAGCTCAATGGCCTTCGAGCAAAGTTGAGGACTAACTCGGAGGAGCTCATGCTGATCCAGACCCAGATCCGAAGTGCCCAGGATCCGGCTTGGAACAAGAAGCTTGAGGAGATCACAACGGCGTCCGAAGTTTTGGATGAGTTCTTGAAGGAAGTGCGGGTAAACTTGGCCGAAGGGCTTCCCAACGACAAGAGCGGCGATTACCAGGACAAAGTCGGCCAAACGATCAAATTCATCGAACAGTGTACCAACCATCACAAGGCATCGGGCCATGTCATTAAGCAGACGAAGCAGCTGATGTCCTCGGACTGAGTGGCGCCCGGGTCAGGTCACACTTCTGAGGTCTGTGGCGGGTTTGTTGACAAGTAGTTTGGAATACGCGTCAGCTTCGTAGATCAATTGTGGTGTGCTGAAAAAAGGGACATTGCATTGTTGGGCTAGTTGGGCTAGTTTTTTTTACACCTCCCGAGGGCCTCGAAGTACTTTTGAGTTTGCGGCGAAATGCAAGCAATTTCGGATGCATCTGTGGACCCTTCACGGCTTGAAGACGGCTCAGCTGCAGCGAAGAAAACAAAGCTTGTTCTTGTTGCTCGTAGTGCAGGCCGACAGGGCATGTTTTGCAAAAGCGCCATTTTGCAAGCAGTTTCCATGCGTGCAGGTCGGACGGTCGGACTCATCCTTTGGCACTGCAGGCCAACCGATTTTTTGCCTCGTGTTCAGAAGCTCTGACATTGGAAGCTCCTCGGCAGGAGCTCCGATTCTTGCTGGATTTTGAGCTTTCGCCGACTCTTGCTGGATTTTGCGCTTTCGCCGATTCTTGCTGGATTTTGAGCTTTCGGAAAGATGTTCAACAAAAGATCTCTCCCGGATGAAGCTTTGGAAGATATGCCGGAGGACAAACGGTTCAGACACGATATGCTCGATGCATTCTTGGGCAATAATTTGTCGGCTTCAAGGTCAGCTCGTATGTTCAAGAATGCGAAGAAGGCTGGAGCGGCGAACATAGACGACCTTGCCGTTAATCGCAATACGGCAACCAGAATCGCGATCTGCTGCGGAAAGCGTTTCGCAACACGAAATGGCCGCCGGTGTATACTTTTACTGCGATTTCTTACAACCAGGCAAAGCAGAAGAAAGAGACCCAGCAGCTTTCGATGCTGTTACCGCATGAGCTTGTTCATAGCCTTTGAAGACGAATGAGCCAGAGGATCTGATATCCAGGCAGGACCCGCTTTTGCGAAACAGACCCGATGTGCAGCTCCATTTGGATAAAATGCACAATTTGGGGTTCCCTGCCAGTCAAACCTTGCTCGCTGGGTTGTGGATGGACTCGGTACCGTTTAACTCGGACCGGAGTCAAAGTCTGGAAACAGTGATGCTGAATATCCTTTGCGATTCGAGCATGAGGCTGCCGATTGCAGCCTTTCCTAGAGAGTTCAAGTCCAAGAAGAATACCTACGAATGCGTATTCGAGGTACTGAGATGGAGTTTTAGGTGTTGCATGTTGGGCCAGTTTCCCGCATCTAGGCACGACGGTGCGGAATGGCATTCCGACGACACTTATCGAAAGAAACGGCAATTGCAGCCTATCGCCTTCAAGGCATGTTTGGCAGAACTCCGGGCGGACTGGAGCGCCTACAAAGATGTATTGGACTTTCCTTCCTGGTCGAGCACTGGTTTCATCTGTTGGAGGTGCCACTGCAGGAAGGAGGATCTTAAGATTTTTCGAGATTCGACCTTGGAGAAGTTGCCAGCCCAGCATTCATGTTTTGTTTTTTTTTGTAAGCGGGTTTGCAGGGGTTTAAACATTTATAACTATATAGGGCTCCACTTTTTATTGGCCGATGTCGGCACCCAGGTATCCGCTTATCTCGAGCATGGAATTTTTCGTGCGGCAGCAGCAAGAAAACAAGTTTATTTCCAAGCTGTTCTCGATTCCTGGATTTGGCACGGAAAATTGCAAAGTTGACTTTCTGCATGCTGCAGATTTGGGCATAACGATCGACTTCATGGGTTCACTTTTATATTACATTCAGGCTGAACGAATTCGTGGCCAGTCAATGCTGAAGCGATGTGCAAAGCTGTATGAGGACATCCACAGTTTTTATGAAAGGAACAGCACCCAGGACAGACTTCCCAAGCTTTTGCCGACGATGCTGAGGGCGGACGATAAGGGGAAGGAAAAGGTCCCAAAGCTCAGGGCTAAGGCTGGAGAGGCCAGAAGTTTGGTTCCCTGCATGGTCGAGCTGGCGAGGAAGCACCTGGACGACAGCAAAGAGCAAGAGGTAACTATGATCAGAGCTGCACAGGCGTTGCAAGCGATCTATAGTGGTTTGTCGTCGGCGACTTGGAATGTAGAGGATTTCCAGAAGAACGTCCAAGTTTTTTTGCTGGTCATGAGCTCTTTGGAGGAGTTCTTCCAGGTGGATATGTTGTTTCGTCTGAAGCCGAAAGCGCACATGCTCTTGGAGTGCAGCCGAGATGAATCTGAAGAAGGTACGAGCCCTGCACTTTTCTGGGCCTACAGGGATGAGTCTTTCGGACATACCTTGGCGATCTTGGCTGCTCGTCGAGGCGGAAAATTCAGTATGAAGGCCGTCTCGAAAGCCGTACTCCTAAGGTTTATGGCTGCCAACAAAGTTCCTCGCTTGATGGAAGCGAGTTGAAAAAAACGCCCGGTTTGCATGCATGCTGCATCTGAGGGATCGTGATTTGCATCGACATGGTTTTTAATCATGGGTTTTAAATACGCAAGGTTTTTCTTTAAATAAGCATTGTTTTTGTTAATGCTTAAAACGCCATTTATGGCTTGAATTGCAACGCCACAACAATGCGTAAAACCATTTAAGCACTTTTGGAAGTTCTGGGTGGTCGCCCATGTGCCAATCCACGTGCATTGGAGTGAACCAAGGCTCACAGCCAGCGATTATGACGTAGTTTGTGTGGCCACGAACGATTGAATTTGCTTGAATGTTGCGGAGAACACGTGGCAGGCAATGCTACATAGGAGGCTAAGCAACGACTTTGGCTCAACCTGCGAAACAGAGGTTCAGCGCGCTACTGCTGTGTTTTCACACGGTGACGGCAACAGAAGACAAATGCATAATGAAAGGAGACCGTTGTTCGTTAAGAAGATCGGAGCGCATGCTGCGAGATGAGGTTCGAGAGTTTCAACTTTGCTGCATTTCAAGGCTTTCTGATTTCGTGATGCTCCAAGCGAGTGGCCTCGTTGTCTGCAAACCGGCTGGGATTTTCGAACACGCGAAGAGCAAGCAGGATGCACAGTTTTTGTTTGTACACACACACACAGAGATATGTGTAAATTCATATTTGTATTGTGCACACATGTATGGGGACGAGGTTGGCATTGTCAGCTTAAATGCGCGGTTGTGTTTGCTGTGTTCCACTGCGCAACAACCCAAAAGATGCAAGCCCGTAGTTTTTCATTGCGAAGTGGATGTGGCCTTCGCAGAGAAAGTCTATTGGCCTGTTAACACGTTTTGAATTGCATAAACCGTCAAAGAAGCTCCCTCCTAATTTCTCCCTAATAGCATGTGCACATCTCTTCAGTGAGTCTCAGCTTGGACTGAAAGTTTTAAATCACTTGTTTGGTTTCTGGATTTGAATTCCAGACAACCCAGACTGCAGCTGAGACCCTTCTTAGGCATGCCAAAATGGAAGATTTTCGGGGCGGGTTCCGGTTCAAGCTGTCTTTTCCTACCTTTGCGTGGCCAGGAAATCGAAGTCGAGGCCGGATGTCCAACGGTATCATGAAGTAGAGAGATCCACTGCAGCCGCTTTGCTGAAAGCGTGCTTTTTGGGCCATGCTCTGTGTGGTCTGCACATCTCCGTGGTTTGCGACAGAAGTCCATGTCGACAAATGAACCGGTACGTTTTTCGTGCCTTGGTAATTTGCGGTGCTTGTCACCGTGGCCGCGCCTTCCGTGAATCAGTTGCGGATGAAGCAGCAGCGCTGCAAGACTCCAGCGGGCACTGTGCGTACACGGCAGTGGAGACTCCCCCTCAGCTGTTTGAGCACCGAATGGTGCAGTCTTGATCCGGTTTGCAGCTCAAGAGTGTGCTTCTAGGTCGATTCTAGGTCTCGGTCTGGTCAGGTAGGCCTCGCGATGCTATGCGACGAGTCCATGTTGCCATGACTTTGATCACCAAGGAGTGAGGATGAGGTGCGTTCACTCACCATGCCCGTGCCCTTCGACTTTCTGCAATCCCGGGAGTTTTTCGTGGCAGACGACTGCAGCAACCCATCGCTGATGCCCAAACTCAGGCTTGACGTTCCGACGGGCTTGGACTTTGAATTTTTCCTTGAACTAGAAAGAAGCTGGTTTCCAAGGTGTCCGAAGCAAATGCAACCGGTTGTTCACGATGAATTGAAATCTGGGCAAGTTTGGGGCATGTTGCACAGGCAATGTGCACACATGGCGTGGTGCTCCCATGTTTCTAAAGGTTCCTGCTGAATGAGCTGGTAACGGTTTCAGTCAAGAGCAGCTCTGCCTCTGGCTTTGAAGGGAGGTGTTGGGTGTCGTCGTTCTGCACGGGCAACCCCAACCATTTAAGAGAGCCCGTTCAAGCCTCAAACCGAAGCATTTTGATCTCGAGAATAAAGGTAGGAGCTTCCCTTACCTCGATGTGCGCGGCGAGGAGTATTCCCAAGTCCTTGGAGGGCCGGAGGGCATTGTTGGAGCAACGCTTGAAGGCGCTGGAAGTGTTCGTGACGTGCTATTCACAAGCTCGAAGACTAAGGATTTGAGGATAGGTTCTGCGAAGTGGGAAAGATTCGCTTCTTCTCTCGTTATTTTCAAATCCGAAATCAATCGAATAAATCTCGTTGTATCTCCTAAGTAATTGGTATGCTCCGCATCCCTGTAGCTTGACTATGAGGTTGCTTTGAATGTAGCAGGTGAAGATGCTGAAGGAAGGTGTCCACGCAGCTCTTCGCCAAGATATGAGCTACTTCACGAAGGTAGCCTGCGGGGCAAAGAGTTTTCTTCTGCATGAGTTTGCCCCAGTCTCTTAAAAACTGGGAGGATGAGGAGTAGACATCTGGCAGTTGCAATATGAACAGCAAGGTTTCTGCGTCAAGGGCTTTGTAACCCGAACTTGGTGAAGGCGCTGGGGAGCAAGGGGGAGGCGGAGTACCTACCAGCAGTCGAGCTGCACATGTTCCCGCTAGACCCCATGAACGCCACTGCAGAATGGCAGGCGTGGGGCATTGGGGGTGGGGTTGCTGCTTTGCTTTCCGAGATTTTCCGAGTCATCTCTTCTTGTTGCCGCTCCAGGCGATCAGAGTTGCCAGGGATACATGGCTATACCTCATCGGTCTTTGCGCAAGCTGAGGCGCTCTTGGTGCCCACAGTGCCTGAAGTCTTTGGCCAAAAGCTGCACCTCTGCCACAAGTCGGTCGCTTGGACCAGTTTAGGTCTGGTTGGGTCACCATGCAGCTACCAATCTCCTTTGCAGTTCTCTGGTTGTGCACCCCAGTCTTTCCGACCGTTGAAGCCGTATGATGTCCTGCATGTTCCTGTACAAACTCCCACGGCTGAGTTCTTTAAAAGTGTCAGGAGGGTAAGAGGGCTGATGGCAGTGATTTCTGGCCGTTGAGCAGGAAGCTCAGCCACAAGAGCTCCATTACGAGTCGAGTCCTGAGCCAAAGATGCACATGTCCACAACTCCTGGCCAGAACTTGGTCACATCATCATTATCAACATTTTCTTGTTTCAGAATGTTGTTCGGACATCACATCTTCGGTTGGGCCGAGCACTTTAGACCTGTGATCTGTGCGGACAGCAGTTGCACATAGGCTGGCTACAGCATCGGTCACAATGCACCACCCCGTTTGGAGTGGTCCAAACGCCTACGAAAAGATTTGTGAATGTTGTTAGCTGTTAAAACGTCCCACATCGCATCGACCCCGTATGCACGAATGTGCTTTAGTTCTGGGCCTGCGAAACCCTCAAGCATCCCGTGCTCTAGAAGTCTTCTCATCTCGTCTAATGCGATAGCTCAAGCCTGAAGCCCAACTGCCGGGGCTGGCGATGGTGTCAGTGTCAAGTTTCACATGGAGTTGAAATTCACCGTACGCTTTGCACAAGCACTTGACAAATAGTAGGTTGTTTTGATGGGCATTGTGACCGATGCTGTAGATAGGAGTGAGCACATGTCTATGTGCAACTACTGTCCGCACAGATCACAGATCTAAAGTACTGGGCCCAACCGAAGATGTGACGTCCGAACAACATTCTGAAACGAGAAAATTAGCAATGATGTGACGAAGTTCTGGCCAGGGAAACCTTCATGCACTAAGCACAATGCAGTTGAAGAGTCCTGCTCAACTGTCCGCAGATGGTACGACTCAAGCCATACCTTACACCGTATATAACCCAAGATGGTGTCAACCGAAGCACCGCGCTGAAGCGTCTACAGAAGAATCATTATTCTTGGCAAAACAACAAAGACGTCAAGGTTCAACCACGACGACGCACGGCCACTTCCCCACTACTTGCCTTTGGTTAGTAGGGAGAATGGTAGTCATAGTAGTTATAATTGTACCCCATTCCTCCATTCCCTACTAACCAAAGGTAAGACTAGCCATGAGAGATCAGAAGCCCGAGGAATCTCAAGAAGTGCGGTGCATAGCAGAGCTGCCTTTCCCTCCGCTTCCGCGGCATCCTTGCTGCAAGTAACAGGAGGGTTTGTTTGTAGGGTTCTCTTCGGGCTCTATATTTAGTTTTTTTTTTAGACTGCGACTGCATGGATTCTAGCATGCAACTTCAGTGCACCTTTCAATCCTGGCATTTCAAGCCAGATTTCTAGTCATGAGCTCCTTAACAACCCCAGTAGCAAATCGCGAGTTCGTTCATTGGGCATCTATCAAGAGCGATCGTTCCTCGACTCATCGGAAGACTCCCGTTTGGGTAGCAACCAAAACTACATCAATCAAGATCTGGCGAAAGCAAACATATACCGAAGCAGTCTTCGCCCGAACATGAGCAGCGGGAAACAGACCAAGAAACACCTTTCAACCTTGAATATTGTCCGGGCCCCAGCCATGGAAAAGAAAGCCTGAACACCTAAGAAACAACACGCGAGGCACCTGCAGGCTTGGATGGGCGCATTCGATCCCTTGAAGCGGCTGAGGCCCAGGGTCGGGAAGGGATGGAAGGATAGGTGGGTTTGTGCAGGGTTTAGTGAAATGTGAAGTAAAGGTCATGATGATGTTGTTGTTGTTGTCACTGCTGCTGCAGTTGGCAGTTGCTCCATTCTAGGCTGAACAGGAAGATCAGGAAGGTGCTAATGCTGTTGGTGATAGGTGGGTGCTGGTACTTGTGATCATGGCTGGCATGTTAAGCAGCACGGCACTGAACCATGTTTCCCAACCAAGCAAACTGGAACAACATTAGCAGCAGCGGCGGCAGTGGCGGCGGCTGCAGGACTGGCAATGACAAGAACGGCAGCAGACACCACACCATTGCAAAGAACCAGCACCATGCTGGCAGATGCCGCATCTCCTCATCTGTTCTGGTGTGTTTTTAGCCGGCGAGTCGGTTTTCTGTTCAATACTTTGTGTATTCTGTTGATTGTATGGCATTACTTGCTGACAATACTGTCGAATGGGAAGCCCTCAAATTTTGGACACTGCACGTGGCTGGTGTGTACATGCCAAGTCGTTTTGATCGGGTGTTCAGGCGTACCGATTTCGAAGTTTTTTGGCTTCTTTCCTGGTGGTTTGTGCTAAAGACTTGCGCTCCGCAAGAGGTTGGGTTCAAGATTTTGGGGTGTCTCGCTGGGAAGAGAGTGAGACATTCTTGGCTCCTTTCGAAGCCGTGCGATGCAGCAGCGTGCCTGCGGTCGGGGGGAATGGGGGGTGCCCGACCCTGCCTACCCCATAACCGAGAGAAAGAGACAGAGAAGTTTGCAGGTTGCAGAAAGATAAAGAGCAGGAAGGGTGCCAGGGCTGAAAGCAGTCTTGTGGCACAGGTCCATGCCCATATGGACGATTCGGCTGGCAGAGGGCTCTCTTTTGCTTGGCTTGGCCCTCCTGCTTGCAGCTGGCGTGTACCTGATGCGGATATGGTGCGGCCAGCCACCAGAGAAGCACACTTTCAACATCCCAGAGCTGCCTACCAAATTTTTTCTCGCGAGGCACACCGAGCTGCGCCTTGGTGGCATGTCAGGTCGATGGCCGGTTTTTGCTTGTTTTGATTCAGTTCTCCCGGCCTCAATTTCATGTGCATCATCTACGTCCCCGAATGTCAGGTGCAATGACAATCCTCTAATCGCCACAAATATAAAGACATCCTGCTCCCAGGCACCCTGATGCCGGGGGGAAGGAAGCCTCTATTTGCATATTGGATTCTGGCAGAGAAGTTGTCGTGGAGAAAATCGCCCCCGCTACCAGGTACATCCCAATCATTTCCCTTGTGCAGGAGTGGGAAGAGCTTTTCAGGCTCCACATGTGGAAATACTACATGTTCACTAAGGTTTCGTTTTTCTGTTTGCGACTAACAAGCGGTGCCATGGACGTGTCCCTTCCATGCAGGCGCGCAATCAGAGGTCCCAGCAATGCTTTCTGGGGCCGCATCAAGGAACCTGCTGGCTGGATCCTTCTTCATGAGGACCTGTCTTGTGGCTTGATCTCATGCCTGGAACTCATAACGGTTGGGTGGTCCTACGGTTTAAGGCATGGTAGATTGACTCTCCACAGGCTAGTAACGGCTAGTCGCTGAAGCCTTAGATCACAGAGATTCAGCCAAGTTAACTGAACTTGCTTCAGAAGCAACTCATACAGTAGCGCTTAAGATTTAGAGCTGATCAACAAAAGCTCGAAACCTAGCCTGCATCTGACTTGCTCACAAGCTGTTTTGCCCGGGCACTCAGCTGTTTGCACCAGGGACTTGGTTTGTGCTTGACTCTTTAATTACAAGATGGAAACAGGACAATGGGGAGACGAGGGTGCTGGTGAATCCATCTGTGGAGGCTTGCTTGAAGGCGCCGGGTCGAGGACGCCCTTGTGTTGCTGTGCTTCTGGTTTTTTCCAGCATCACTTCTCACCATTCGAGATCTTGTGCAGAAGCCAAAGTTTCCAGATTTGTGACAACTGCATGCCAGCAGTCTGTTTTCTGGGAATATCTGTGCTGCCATAATACGATGGAGTTTGCTCACACCGAGTGGCTGGCATAGCTTATATAGGTCGATGGTGTCTTTACTTGGGGTTTCTGTTGTATGGGGCTGTAAAAAAGGAATTCCTACTAAATTCCTACTTCGGCCAGATAAGACAGTATTAGGAACAGGCAAAAAGAACACCAGCCTGTTTAAATCATAGCTGTGCAAGCATTGAGGCTCATGGACTTCTAGCAGCAACAGTCCAGGCAAAAAACACACACACACAATGTATTCTTGACAGACGCACATGTGAAGGGAAGACCTTCTGTAGCAGTATGGGAGTTGGCTTTGTCTGCAGTGGACCTTCTTCCTCAATCCCTAAACCCTGGTCCGCAAAAACACTGCATCATGACACCCTCAGCTGTTACCAAGCTTTAGTTTTATGACGTTCTGTCTCTGGAGGCCCATCCAGACCTGGTTCCGCCCCTTGTGGATTTGATTAAGAAGAACCTGGTACTTTTTGGAGCTTACGTGCGCTTTGGCTCAATCATTCGGTTGTCGTTGGCAGTTTTGGTGATTGTCTGACTGGCATATGAGGCGGGATTCTGAAGTTTGGGTTTCTTTTCTGTGGTTGCAAGACCTGACGCGCAATGCAGCAGAATCATGTGCTGTGGATTCTGGGAAGTGCCAGGAAGCCACACAAGACGTTTTTTTGTGAAGTTATACGATAAGTCCAAACCCAAAGGTCAGCTCAGTGGGTGGCTTTGGCTCGCCTCACTGCAGTGTACCAACCGGAAAGCTTTGCATGTCTGGTCTGTGGCATGTGCGTGGTTCATCTTGTAGTATTGCTGCAGCAGACCTTCTCTCTTCAGCGTGGCTTGGAGCATGAAGAGCGGTTGCAGCAAAAGCAGTTGCTTCGGCTGAGCCCGCAACACTTGCTGAGCGGTGTATTTGGAGCAGTGCTTACCCTGATGACGGCGCTTCTTGTCTCGGGCGTTTCTGCCGCCTGGTCCGAAACTTCCCGACTGTCCGGCATCATCCTGAACGGCATCTGCCTTGCGCTGCATGGCAAGCACCTCCATGACGCGATTGCGAGCCACAAGAAGTGGAGAGAGCCGCAAGTGCAGAGCAAAGAATACCTGGCTCTCACCATGTTTCCATTACAAGCCACTGAAGATGCCCCACCAGAGCTAACACGTGAGCGGGCTCAAAATTGGCTGGTGGCCAAGGCTGTGAAGGCCACCTTCTCGTGGTTGGCAGCGAGTGTGTTGGCAGTGATTTTGCTGGACGCAGTCCAGCTCCGGGGCCAGCTGTTGAAGTACGATGTGAGCCGTGGATACCTCACCTCTCCGGGCTGCCGTGAGGCTTTTCACAACACGCTCCTGTTGGACACCAATGCCGACTCCCTAACGCTGAACGCGGAAGTTTTTGACGCGCAGAGCGGCCTCATGCTCAAAGTAGAACATCCGCTTTTGAACAGCTCGGAGGAGATTGGCTTCAACTCGTCCGGCGAGCACCAGATCTCCTTGCCGTCTGGACCACTCTATGGTCGGATCGTGCTGCGGGCCCTGGGCTCCTACAAGAACACCAATTACACCATACATGTTATTCGCGTGGCTTCTGCCGTTACGGTGTCCATGAACAGTTCCTTCAATGGCTCCAAATATCCGAAGTTGGCCAATACCCGCTTCTTGGAAAAGCGCCGCCTGCAGCGGCTTGACCAAGTGACACGGTCTAGGCTCAATCAAGGCTGAGGAGGCTGCAATCAGGCATGTAGGAGAGGCATTCAAGTAAACCACAACCACACCCAGAGTCCTAGAGGGTCCAACCCCACGTGTAATGGGGCTTTCGTCAAGAGCCCGCCGAACTATTCCTGCATAGATGGCATCCTGCCTCAGAGGTATTTGCTGCAGCACCCCACGTGGTATGTGCCAGACCTGGATATGGTTTCAAATTCCACGATCGAGGCCATGTCGGCATGACGGGCCCGGGTTTAGGGCAACGATTGTAGCTGTTGGGACTGGCAGATGGCACATCTACTAAAACAGCCACCTAAGCGTCTGCGCATACATTATCGTTACAAGGCCTGATCCAACTTGGGTCGTTGCAGTGAGCTCCAAGGTTGTGCTTGACTCCGTTGTGCTGGCGCCGCTGGTGCCTGCAGCCCTCGGACCGAACGAGAAGAATGCCAGCATGCCAATGGTGTCTTCAAGTCAATGCAGTGACATATGTGGAGCCGCCAGAGCTGGGTTCGGCAACGATTGCATCTACGAAGAGGCAGGCCCGAGCAAAAAAGCTGCGTTGGGGCATGGCTTCTCGTGCAAAAACGAGTCAGGAAGGCATGTGTAGCTTTGCTGTGCATTGCAGAACAGGCTGTGGATCTCCCAGAACCACTCTGTGTTGGCCAGAACACTGCCCAAGATCTCAACTTGGAGAAGTCTGATCTCAGTGTTGCGGGCAAGGGCTCCGCACTATTGGACTGGCTTCGAGAAGCTTGCCTTAAGCGGTGCTTGCCTGCTGATTCTTTCGCTTGCTCGCTTGACTCCTTTTTGCTTTTGTCTTTCTTTTCCTATAGAGTCCTTGAATGGAGGGCATGTCTGGATTTTGGAGTGCTCAGTGTTGCTCTTTTCGCCAGGATGTCAACGTGAGTGGCAAAATGGTCACGCTTGACAACTTCGAAAAGGAGGGCGGCTCCACGCATTTGCCGTTCAAGGCTTTAGCTGGAGGTCTCTATGACAGCTTCTTGTTATCAACGCCATTGGCATCCCTAGCTGGTGGGGTTCAGCTGGACATCGCTGTTACCCAAGATCCCACAAATGCTGAGGATTTGACCATACCCCTGGTGATTGTGCCTCATCCACCACCGATACAGCTCGATCTGAACGGCTCAAAAATCGGCTACTTCCTTTTGCCTGAGATGATGAGAGAGACTCCGCGAACAGAGTATGCGATTTGTGGCAACGTTGATGCGGTGCAGAATCTGTCCGCCAAAGTTGACGACCCACGCTTTACAGTCCTTCAGAACGAGTCGCATGAGGCAGTGCAATGCACAGGCCATGGCTTCGACAGCAGGACAGAGTTCCGAGTGGTTCGGGCAGAGCCATGCGACTGGTGCGAGCACTACACACCTTGGGATGCAGCAGGTTACGACCTGGTCCTGCGCCGCTCTATCTTACTGTGCTTAGAGACCGCTGTGAACTTGGAGAATGCCCAGGCTTTGGAGAGCATCCTGAAACCAACAATCCATGCAGGCCACTTCAAAAAGCTAGGGACCCAACCTGGCAGTGGGAGAGATGTGGGGCCAATAGTTGTAACTCGCCTGAGTTATCCGTCCTCAGTAGACATGCTCTGATGGTACTACGCGAGGCGATGCGCACAATAAGTGCCTGGATAAGGCCGGCCTCTTGGGTGATGCTATCCGCAAGACGAAGGACGCTCAAATGGTCCAGGTGATGCTGAAGATGGGTGCTGATGCCTCTGCCCTGAGCCGGGGCCAGACTCCGCTGCAGATCGCTGCCGCACGCGGCTCAGTTCCATCGGGCTGCTTCCCGACACGTAGTATGAGAGGAGACAGATGCACCCAAAACCGCAAACTGGCCCCACCTGCCCGTGCAGAGGCTTCACAGGACTGTTAGCTGAGGCACGTGGCAACCTTGATGCCATGAAGAAGTTGTTCAATACGACAGCTTCAAAAGAAGGTTCCCTGGGAGCCGCAGCCTCTCAGTGCCAAGTGGAGGCCACGGAGTTTGCTCCAGCGAAGGAACTTCAATCCCTGACGTTGGATTAACCAGAAGCTAGATCCTGAAACCAGACAGTAGCCAGATGCAACAACCCAAGCCCTGAGGCCATGGACCTTATCATATCGCAAGGCACATCCGATGCGCAGAAATGTGAGGACTCGCCGACATATGAGGCTTTCATGAAACAGCCATGGTTCAGCTGCAGGGAGCGACCCAACTTGCTAAAGACTGTCTTCGACCTTCTTCAGCAGGGCACAACCTATAAGATGGATCCGGACTGCAAAGGCACCATAGACGCAAAATGCTGTGCATTTGTCTTGGACTGTTCTGTAGTGTTTCAGAGGTGAGATGCTGAATCGAGCCATTCATCACAGAGACGCGGATGTTGCACGCCTCCTTTTGCAAGAAGGCGTTTTGAGATTTTCTGTAAGCCGTGGGTGAATACGGTGCCCACTGGTTGACATGTTTGAGGCTTGTTAAAGAGGATCACATTCATCACTCAATCCAAGCATCTGCATTGGGTCTTGCTGCCCCATTAATGGCAGGTGCGGATGCAAATCGCGATTGTTCCGGGACTCCTCTTGAACAGTTGATGGCTGAGCGAAAGAGTGGAGAGTCTCCAATCTCGATTGCAGACTTCAAGAAGATTGCCCAGCTGCTTATGGATTACAAGTTGGACATTGACGACCTGCGCGAGCTTGTCATAGAAGCCGCCTACGAGTGCGACCTTGACCTGGTAAAGGCGTTGCTACAGCTCAGTGCGGGTTCCAGTGTTGACATTAACGAAGATGCCATCAATGCAGCCAATGGGCAGTGCAGCGAGGACCTGGAACTTTGAAAGCTGATGCCTCCCCGCTAGCCCCTCCACAAGCACAGGTGGACGAAAAGTGAGCAGAAATTGAATGCACAAAGCCGCCAGGAGGCCAAATCCTTCGTGAAGGTTCTGTCAGAAGCCGGGAAATCAAAGCAATGAAAGCCCCCTTGTGCCGCCAAAGCTGCTTGGGTTGATTGATTTGATATGCTGCATAGGTCAGGATGTCGATGTCAAAAGCTTCATGTCGCCCCAACACTCAAAGTCAATGTGCAAGCGAAATCTACAGAACGCTCCATCCCGAGGCTGCCTGAGTTTAAAGCTAAGGAAGCTGGTGAGAACTCTGGTGAGAGCAGCGCAGACAGCTTCAGTGACCCTGCTTCCGCTTCCTCTCACTGACGCGGGGTTGCTGCTGAGGTTTGCTTGCCTGATGCCATATCCATGAAGTGGTAATCCCTATCAGGAGAGGGACATGCAAAACTCTCCGAAGAACCGAACAAGCAACGACAAGGCGAACCCCCAAAACGATAACACCTAGAACAGGCTCCCGTCAAACGGGATCAAACACCTCATTCCCTTGCCTGAGACGGCCGTTCCAGTACTAAAGTTGTACTACCAGAAAACGATATACCATTCGATTGCCGGAGGCGGCCGTTCCAGTTTTAAAGTTGTACTGCCAGAGAACAAAAATCCATGCGGTTGCCGGGGACGGCCGTGCCGGCACTAAAGCCATCCCGTTGCCGGGACGGCTGTTCCAGAATTGAAGTTTGTACTACGTAAAATGAACCAGCCAACGAAAATCCGTCCGATTGCCGGAGACGGCCGTTCCGGTGCCAAAGTTGTGCTACCAGAGAACGAAAATCATCTTGTTGCCGCAGACGTCCCAGTACTACCATAAATTGAATGTCCCTCCGATTGCCGGGAACGGCCGTTGCAGTACTGAAGTTGTACTTCCATAGAATGAAAATCCATCCGATCGCCGGGGACGGCCATTGCAGTACTACAGTTGAACTACTACCATAGAACGAAGACCCATCCGATTGCCGGGGACGGCCGGCCCAGTACTTAAGTTGTAGTACGATAGAGTGAATATCCATCCGATCGCCGGGGACGGCCGTTGCAGTACTGAAGTTGTACTACGTGGTATACCAGGGAACGAAATCCCTCCGATTGCCGGAGACGGTCGTTTCAGTGCTAAAGTTGTACTACCAGAGAACGAATATCCATCCGATTGCCGGGAACGGCAGCTGCATTACGGAAGTTGTACTACCATAGAATGAAAACCCGTCCGGTCGACATCTCCCCCGCACAGGCAAGTCAGACCATACCTCTTAAATTAGAGGCCCGGTTCATGGGCTGTTGTGCACGGCTTTGCCAACGAAAAAAGCGAGCTCCCCAAAACGATAATAACTTGTGGAAGTCCGCTTTTTTCGCTGTGGGTTTTGCCGCTCGCTCCAGGTCTCTTTCACAGATCAATCAGGAGAACCCCAATGACTGTGCACAGGCGCAGGAAAGAATAAGGTGGCAATAGCAAAGTCAGGTACAACAGCAAGACAGCACAGTGTGACTTGCTTTCGTGTCACAATGTAACCTGTCACGTTTCTGGTGGCAGGACAGGCGGTTGCAGAATAGTCTGGAAGGAGAGACGACTTGAAAGAAAGATGCAGCTGCTGTGCTTGCTCTTGGCTCGGTCTCTTCATGTGGCTGTAAAGTACAATGGAAGTGTTGGGAGTAGGTTTGCTTGCTCTTGCTTGAGAACAGAGTGATGTCTGGCAGATGCAAGGGACATGTATTGATATGCAGACGACAAGCCTGGGGCACTTCTGTCTGAAGGTGCTCACGACATTTCATTAAGTGCGGGCATTTTTCATCGTAGGCGACTGCGCTGTCACGACTCGCCATGACTTTGGTTGCGGACACATCAGGAGTTTTCGGCAAATGCCAGTTCGTGGTTGTGTTTGAGCATGTGTTCTGCTGATCAGCCTGTGCTGGGGGTGGCTGACCAGGGTTTGAGCACGTGTAAGCACTTCCGTGAGCAATGAACTATGCAGTGCATATATGCAACTTGCCATAGTCGTACCGTGTGCCACGCCCAAGGCAACTAGTTAGCTGTCCAGGCATTTTCATGATTTGCAAGCAGCGCGGGGCATGGCTGCCCTGACAAGAGGAGTTTGCCAGGTTTCAGTTGGCAGAAGGTTCTTCAGCATTCTTGCAACAACAGCTGTAGGGCACGTAATGTATACGAGAAGCCTGCCATCACAGAGGATTGATCGGCAGCCGTGCTATTGATGATGGGATTTTCTTGCATCTGCTTGTGCATGCCATGGTGGTCTTTCATCCTGATAGCGGTGTCTGCATGGCAGCCTCGCATCATCTCATAGATCTCATAAAGTAGCAGTCAAGGGGATTGGACACGTGGGGCAACTAGAGATAACCATAAGTCTGTCTTGTTGATGTTGAACGCTCAGATTGCTGCCTTGAAGGAGAGGGACTGGAATGAGGTGCTCAAGAGGCCGGCTTCGTGTTTCACACTGTAGAGCGCGGCACTCATTCGGATTCTATTGGTAGGGCATTGCATTTGTTGTCAACACAGTCTGCCTGCCAGTGTTGGGCGTTATGTGCAGTTTTGCAACATCTTGACAGGGTTGCCAACTTGCGCCCCGGTCATGTTAACATCCCTCGCAACGTCTCTTCTTGCCAGCTTCTCCCTTGGACTGGAGGATGTTGAGATTACCTTGGCTTGACAGGTGATACATCGTTGTAGACTCCGGGGTCATCTGGATATATCTGGATGTCGGATCCTCAGATCGGCCCTGTACCCAGGCTCCCCTGCCATACTTGCGCCGGCGCTCAACCGCTACCCTTGCTTCCCCTGGCTGGGGCTGAGCAATGTGTGCGTTACTGGCAGGCGCAGGTGGGCGTTCTTTCATACGTGTGCGTACTTGGAGTTGCTGGCTGATGGACTCGAACCTCAAACCTCAGGAGTTTTTTTCCGCACAGTGTTCGTTATCAAGGGCGGTTTGGCGCTGCCTCACTCGAGGACATGCGCGGCTTGCCTGTAGACACTGTCCTCAAGCGTACGTGAGAGTTTGAGCGGGCAATGGTTCTCGTATCGGTGGCATGAAAGGGTATTTGTAAAGATTCTGCAGGATGCCAAGGCATGAAGCCAGGTTCTGGCTTCGATCCATCAAGTTCTTCAACCATTTGCATCGCCTACATCTGTTGCCTTTTTTGCAATTCCAGCCCAAGTCCATGTTGAGGCTTTTCTCATGCTCGGCCGGCTTGGCAGATCATTCCAGTTGCAAGCTGTCAGTAACTGCTTTACAGCAGTTGTTTTACACAAGATGCTGCAGGTGGCAGAACAGACCGGCAATCAGACGTTATAAGCAAATGTATACAAACGGCGCTAGGCCAGGCCCCTGCATAGAGTTTTTTGTTTTTTGTTGTTTGCGGCTCCTTGTTAGCCGGTTATTGGGTTTCTTGTTACTTTTCTGCCTCTAGTGCTCTGGTGCTCAGATTTCTCCCTAGTCCGTTCCCGGTTCCCTGGTTCCACAAATAGTAATTCACTGTTCATTGTACTGGCATTGTTGTTTAGTGTTGTGCACCATGATTGTGACACGTTCATATAACTGTTCTGCTCTTGAAAGGAATGTTCAAACCGTTTTTCTGATTCTAAGATGACCTGTTCATATGACTCAGGCTATTCATATTATTCAGATTATTTCAACTTTTCTTATTCTGCGGACTTTTAAGGGTTCAGGGTTTTCAAATCATTTAGGCTTTTCAAACGGTGTATACTGTTCAGATAATGCATGTTTTTCGCATGTTCATAATATTCAGATTCTTCGTATTATTCAGAATATGCATAGTGTTCAGATTGTTCATGTTCCTCACACTTTTCGTCGTACTACGCAGCTTATATCAGACTGTTCATAGGGTGTACCGTATGGTTCTTCTAATTTCTAGTAGTAATGTGCACTAACAAGACAGTTTACACATATTGCCATTCCTTTCCATTTGTAGTCTGACCATCCCGACGATCAATGAATTTGCTATCAGCGTTGTCTTGGCAGTTCTCTGCCTCTCATGGTACCACGCATCACAGTATTGGAAGTCTCCAAACGGGTCCACATCATGCCGAGTACTGCGTTGGCTGGTTCGGACCTCTTAGACCTGCCGGCTGTCACAGCTCCCAACAGCTCGAAACAAAATTTGCAGCCTCCACTCCCAAGCTCAAACACTACAGAGCACATCAATTGCATGCAATTGCTGGCTTCGACAGCTTCCGAATGAGAGTTTTCACAGCATTTCGCGACTCCAAAGAGCTCACACGCTGTGTCTCGCAGCATCTGGACCCTCCTAGTCCTAGAGCCGATCAACAGATTCGCCAACAAATGCAAATTGATGGGCCTTTACATTCTACTGCGTGATGTTTTTGCTTACCACAGCTGCTGCTGTTACCGTCTGTGCCTTCCAGCCCCTGTAGTCTGCTGTCAGGTGCTGACAGGACCATGGACCCGAATCGGAGATGTTGTAGGCCTGTACTTGGTGGTTCATGGGTACTTGTTAGTCGGGTTATAAGTAGGGTAACTATACTTATAACCCATATTAGGGGACTTATAACGCCACTTACAACTACCCATGGACCTCCAAGTAGTGCCTGCCAAACATTTTGTTTCCGGCCTGCGAGATGACATTAGCAAACTTTTTTCCAGCCGACCCACAGTCCCCAACAAGGGTACGTCCTGAACGTTCACAACTTGTGGCTTGGTGTTGTTCAGTGATGTTCTGCTTGATTTCTGATTGCCATATGCAGTGCAGCCCCGCATCATTTCATGAAGTAACAGTCATAACGCGGAATGTGGGGGTTGGTTGCGATCCCTGCAAGTCTCACTGCCTTGAGACCGGCAGGTCGTTGCTTTGCCGCAGTCGGACTGGCATGAGGAGCTCAGAAGGCCAGCTTCCTCTTTGAGTGGTAGAGCCTGACATACTGGTTTGGATTCTACAGGAAGCATGCGGCATTTGCTATGAGCACAGTCCGTAGGATCTCTGTCGTGTAACACCATGCTTGGAATCGAAGCCGTGATGCAGTGTGCCTTCAAGGTCGTCCAGACAGCTTGTGCTGTGACGCGTGCAGAAGCAGGCAGCCTGACTGCGTCGACAAGCGTAGACCCTGAACCTAGACAGATGAGGTTGTCATCCTGCAGCCCAACAGTGCTAACATGTGTTGACATCTCTTGCAAATCGCCTTTTCGCTGGAGGATTTTGTGATTAGCCCTGCTTGACCTGTGAAACATCCTTGTGCCGAGTCATGCAGATCCTCTTCAAAGATTCCCGAGCCGTGGTGATGCTGGATCCTCAGACCGACCTTGGCCTGCCACCAGCACGTCTGCAAACGTGCACCAGTGGGTCTCGTGGGCGGATTTAGGCTATTTGCTGTGCGGGGAGGCATGGCGTACGTTCTTGCATGATGCTCGAGCCGCTAGCCGATGGGCTCGAAGCTCAAAATCTAGGTGTTGTTTTGTGAAATTTCGCTTGTTACGCTTGTCGGCAGCCACTGTCGCTGATTGATTTGAGCACATACGTGCTTGCACGTAGAGGTTATGCCCACGAAAACGTCGGAATCTCAGCTGGCAATGGTGTTTCTTATCAAGGGCACATCCAACAGGCGCCTCAGTCTTCATGCATCTGTACGGGATTGCAGGAGCAAGAACATCGACAGCATTCCCTTCGTAGCATGTCGCAGCCTCACCTTTTTGCGTTGTTCCAGCCGAGGTCTACATTGAGGATGATTTTTTGCTTGCGCCTGGCCGTGGCTGGGGCCCAAGCGCTGGCTCTGCAGGTTCTGAGACAGGCAGATTTGCGTCGTGTTGGATGCTCTTCATGAATGTGCGGAACAGATGGTTGGTTCAGTCCCAGCACGAGTGCACGAGTTGCGAGTAGTTTTGCTAAAGGTGCTGCAATTGGCAGAGCGAACATCGGCATTCAGAGATACAGAGGCCAAGCTTCCTCATCAGTCCGCAAGTACACGGGGTCGAGTGATGTAGGATTAGGATCAGACGTCCTGAGCAAGTGTACACACATGTGTAAAGAAAGCTGCGGACACGCACGGTTCTGCCACGTGCTCTACTGCAGTAGTTGTGCGTCAGATAGCACGGTTTGCATCACGTCGGAGAAGGTGACAAGTCTCGACCTCGACAGCGAAGACTCGGCCTTGCGGCGCGCTGAACAGGGCCGACGTGTTCCTTGGATCAAGTGGTGTCAAGCTTCAAGACTGGGGGCACTGCTTCCGCTGCTTGTCCTAGCCAAATTGCAGAGGCCAAGAAATGTTCCTTGATGATGTCTTTGGCCTCGTAGAATACACCAGTCGAAGAACTTTGCAGAGGTTCGCGAGCCAAAACCCTGGCCTTCTGCTAGCATGATCTTCTGAGACGCAAGGTATCTCAGTTTCTCAAGCTTCAAGACCGGGTGCGCCAATTACTGCTTCATGCATGTCTGAATATCGCACATTGCAACAGTCGTCTTGTTTCGTTGCGAAATAGGGAAACCTGGCACAAAGGCCTGCATCCGAAGTACGCGCTAAGTATAGATTTCTACTTGCACGATGACCTAATATCGAAATGGCTTTAACTCACATCATGTGTTCAGAAAACACTTTCTGCTGCAAAACATCTGCACTAGTCTTGCATCCCTTGTTTGCTGAGGTGACGAGACATGTTCTTGGGAAGGGGCAGACGCTACACCAAGGGCAAAGTCTGCAGTCCAACAACGGAAAGTACCGGCTGCTCATGCAAGACGATTGCGACCTCGTTGGGTACGAAGGTACGAGGGCATTCTGGTGGTCGCGAACTGCAGGGAATGGCCAGGGTTGCCAAGCCACCATGCAAAACGATGGCAACTTTGTGATCCACGACAAGCACGGCAAGACAGTCTTCCAGACACACACTGCGGGGAAAGGTCGTGAGATTCGCATGCAGGACGACCGGAACATCTGCGTCTATGACGGTTGGTGTTCCTTCTCGCACGTTGGGAATCCGCAGGTACCAGAGGGTGGGGAGGGGTTGTGAGAGGTGTTCTGTTGCTCGCACCGGGAGCACACTGACACGCTAGTGAAACCTGCTTGCTGCAACCACCTGCCCTAGTTTCACATCCTCCTTTGCTGAGGTGAGGAGAGATGTTCTCCCGAAGGCCAGACGGCAGCACGCGCAACAGGATACACTGGAGCAAGGGCAAAGTCTCTGGTCCAAGAACGGAAAGTACCGGCTGCTCATGCAAGAAGATTGCGACCTCGTTGGGTACGAGGGTACGAGGGCATTCTGGTGGTCGCGAACTGCAGGGAACGGCCAGGGTTGCAAAGCCACGATGCAAGGCGATGGCAACTTTGTGATTTATGACAGGCGTGGCAAGCCAGTCTTCCACACAAACACTGTGGGGAAAGGTCGGGAGATTCACATGCAGGACGACCGGAACATCTGCGTCTATGACGGTTGGTGTTCCTACTCGCACGTTGGAAATCCGCAGGCAGCAGAGAGTGGGGAGGGGTTGTGATAGGTGTTCTGTTGTTCGCACCCTGAGAACATGCTAGTGAAACGTGCTTGGTGCAACCACCTGCCCCAGTTTCACATTCTTCTTTGCTGAGGTGAGAAGAGATGTTCTTCCGAAGGGTTCAGGAGAGCACAGGCAAGAGGATACGCTAGGGCAAGGGCAAAGTCTCTGGTCCAACAACGGAAAGTACCGGCTGGTCATGCAAGACGATTGCGACCTCGTTGGGTACGAGGGTGCGAGGGCATTCTGGTGGTCGCGAACTGCAGGGAATGGCCAAGGTTGCTATGCCACCATGCAAGGCGATGGCAACTTTGTGATTTATGACAGGCGTGGCAAGCCAGTCTTCCACACAAACACTGCGGGGAAAGGTCGGGAGATTCACATGCAGGACGACCGGAACATCTGCGTCCATGACGGTTGGTGTTCCTACTCGCACGTTGGAAATCCACAGGTACCAGAGGGTGGGGAGGGGTTGTGATAGGTGTTCTGTTGCTCGTACCCTGAGAACATGCAACCACCTGCCCTAGTTTCACATCCTCCTTTGCTGAGGTGAGGAGAGATGTTCTCCCGAAGGCCAGCGCTCACAAGCAAGAGAATACGCTAGACAGAACGCAAAGTCTCTGGTCCAACAACGGAAAGTACCGGCTGGTCATGCAAGAAGATTGCAACCTCGTTGGGTACGAGGGTACGAGGGTATTCTGGTCGTCGAAAACTGCAGGGAAAGGCCAAGGTTGCAAAGCTACCATGAAAGGCGATGGCAACTTTGTGATCCACGACAAGCACGGCAAGACAGTCTTCCAGACAAACACTGCGGGGAAAGGTCGGGAGATTCGCATGCAGGACGACCAGAACATCTGCGTCTATGACGGTTGGTGTTCCCAGGCACCTCTTGCAGTGGGGGATATGCCTCGGAATGTCTTCTTTGATTCATGCTGTTCGTGAGTTGTTGCCTTTGCAGGCTTTGTTGTCCGGTGCATTTCCCTGTCCATTAGAACGACACGCACGGCATTGTTCGATTTGCCCAGTCCATTTGTTGTAGTTGCGCCATTGCCAAGGGCATACCTTGGACAGTGTTGCAGATTGCTTAGCCTGGTACCCTCCGGCGAACGTTACTAGGATGGAAGTAAGTGGTTCAGCTTTTGCAACAGGCGACACCTTCGCTTGAGCGGTGTTCTGAGATAATTACTGAGAGCCAGGCTTGAAAACATGCTGCCAGCTTGCGGTCACCTTGAGATCTGCATACTGCTCGATTCATCTCAGTCTCCCTTCCTCTGCTTAATCCAGCTCTGCAATTTCCAGAGCAGTCCAGAAGCGTTGAATCTTGCACAGGCTAGGGTACTCACGGATACGATGACCACGCATTTGTCCAGGTCTGGCACATGTCCCAGCATTTCAGAGCGGAGAAACAATAAGGAGCCCCGTGAACAACAGTTACAGTTGAATGAATGTGACTGTTGCCAATGCATCCGCAGTGAACTTGCAAGGCTACCGTAGCGTGAAGGGATCTGCCCTTTGCTATAGGGTTTTCACCGTTCACAGGTGACCGAGTTGGCGGAGGAACTCGAAGGTGGCTCAGTGTGACTGCTGCGGAGTGCTGTGTTTCTGTCAGTTTGCGGATCGTATTCCATCTGCCATAAGGCAAAGTTGCCAATCTCGCCAACACGTACTTCAAGCACCTTCAGGCAGGAGGGAAGTTGGACAAGAAGCGCCTAGAAGAGCTCGTGACTCAGATGGATGACATCATGGCTGACTTCGCTTTAGATACGCCACCAGACTGGTTCACCAGCAGGGTCGGAGTGCGCACACCGACCAGTGGGGAGACTGCAGAATGCCTGTTAAGGATAAATTCCATGAACCGGCTGCTGTGGGATAAATTCAAGTCCTACGGCAGCTGGGCTGGAAAAACGAAGCATGAAGCTTCACCTGCTGCAACGAAGACGGAACGAACGTTTCGCATCCTCGAAAGCCTCAATTCTTTCGCGTTGTGGATGGTCCAGCCATTCCTGGATGACACGCAGCATGGGCCTCAGGGGGCGCCAAATCAAACAGTTCGAACCCCAAATCTCTGGGCCGGTTTCAATTCCGAGTGCCAAAACAAATATGGCCGGACGTCGCAAGAAGAGCTAGACAGTTTCCAGATCCTCACCAACAGTTATTCCGTGGATCACGGGACACATTGCGGAGACGTGCTGAATGCGGAGGAAGTGACGTATTTGCACGAGTGCACCTGGAGTGTCAGACAAAAGTTTTGGGAGACTCGCTCCAAGGACTTCGTGCTAGGCATCCCATCCCAAGGAGCTGACACGATTTTCGTTTCTTTGAACAAAAAGAGTTTGGATGAAGCGTTTGGTCTGAAGCAGTCCATGCTGTGGGAGGTCCAGCTGCCCACATTGGGCGGCATATATGGAGAACCAAGCGCAATGCATGAGGGGCAGAAATGGAGGCCAAGAATTAGAATCTTTGAGACGACTCAGAGTTGCGAGGAGAAAGGTCTGACAGTTGCCAAGGAACTTCGGCGCAACATTCGAAAAAAGCGCCGCAAACATCTTGAGATTGAGTGCTTCCAATGTGGCGACGCCCTGAGCCGCTGCCTGAACGACGGCTCGGTGTCAGTGCGGCACTTTCGCTTCAACACCGAAAGAAAGGTCATGGAAGAAAGTCTGCATCAGGAGAAAGAGACAGGAGAGCCAGATTCTCCTACAAGCCCTGCAGAGGTCGCAGAAGCTTGCCTTTCCCGGCCTGATGTTGTTGTAGCTGTTTGCATTTGCTCGCGGGTGTTTGTTTAGGTGACACGACACCGGAAGGAGCCACTGCATCCACCAAAATAAACAGCATCGATCCCGAAAACCCTGACATGGGAAATTTGGATCGAGCAAGGAGACGGTCGTGCGCTCACAGCGGGAAGAAGCAGCCGTGGACATGGCAACAAAAGAACTCGATGGCCCTGATCAGATCGCGAAAATGGAGACACAGGCTCGTGTAGAGTGCCGTGTTTGCCGAGCAGGTATCCTGAAAACAGGGAGATATTATTTAGCGGCGGAGTTAGTGATACATGTTGCTGCCTGATGACCTGACCAGGTTGCTGTGCAGGCACACAGCTCAGATGCGGTCCAGCCAGTGGGACGGGCAGAGACAGCCCATGACGACTTGGACAAACAGTGCTCCGACACGCGAGATCTCGATGTGGGGGGAGGATTTCTGAATATGGGCAACAGCGACGAGGCCCCGCTTCGAGCGCCGAACTGTGTGTAACCAGCGGACTGTGTTTGGTGCCGTGATATGTGCTTGTGCATCTCGACCGCTTCAGCCCTGCGTAGGAGAACGGACGATGCCCGGCCCGGGTTGCTAAAAGGTCAAGGGATCTTATCTCCACAAGAACCTGCGGTGTGAGTCCCTGTGCTGGGGATTTAGAGTGTCTAAGCTTGCGACAAGCTGGCCTGGAGGATCACAGTCGACGAAAGGGCCGCGGGAATTGCACTTGCTACAAAAACATGGTCTTCTCAAACAAATGTGACAAGTATGTCCTCATGACGACTATGCCTGAGCCAGCTCACCGTCTTGTGTCTTGTGTCTGAGCTGATATGGCACATGGCTAGTGGTGGCATGTTCGATTGAGTGTGATGTCTAAGCTTAGGGGATCTGCAGGATGCAGTCATGCAGTAGTCATGAAGTTCATGGTGGCCTGGCCCACCAACTGAGGCCAGTGCGTTCCAGACCCTCGCATCTCGGACTACTTGAAGACCCACGTGGCCGCGATGGACTTCTGTGCTGAACTGGTCAAGGCTGTCTACGAGAAGCATGCTGTTCCGAACTTCAGTGGAAGCATCAGGAAGGCTGCGCAGGAAGTGGAGGACGACATGAAGAGGTCGGTAGCCGAGCGAGCCTGCGAAGCGGCTTTGGCTAAAGCCGAAAGCCCAAGTGAGGCTGTTGGCCAGATCACGCATGAAGCAGGGGACGGTGAGGTGCCAGACATAAGGAAGGGGCCCCGAGCAAAACAGTTATTTGATAGTGCAGCGCTGGCGCTGAAACATGTGTGTCGTGACGAATGCCATTCTCTAGTAGCCAGGATGACGACGAATGCATCGGAGGACAGCTCGTTGGCCCGTTTGGCAGAGAGGACCGCAACAGGACGACCCCTCCAGGAGCAATGCGCCGAAACCGTAGTCAAGCAAGTGGAGGGCGAGCTCCTCGGCTGTTGCGCACGTAGCTGCGGCTGGGATGGGGATAGCTGCGCTCTCTGGGCGTACATGGACAACACGGACCAGTCGAACTGGCAGGCGGAGTGCTGCACCGAGTACAATATTTTGAGGGGCTCCAGCCGTGAGAGGATGTGCAACAGCGTGCTTTCACCCCAGCATCTCGACACTGCCAAGTGATGCTGATTTGTAAATCTTGAGCGCATGCGCTGGCCATGTCAAGGGGCAGTTTCAGTATCTGATTCCTTGCATGATGTGAATACTCAGCATCAGGAGAAGAAGGCTCCAGGGCTTTGGGTTTTGGAATGCGGGCTGTTGAGGAAAGCGTCGCAGATGGCTGCAGCCTCCGAAGACAACAAGCAGGGCCAGCAGGGAGATGCCGACAGGGTGGGTCAGGATGGGATTCTAGGGATGCTGCCTACAGGATTGGGGATTATGGCTTGACCTGGCTCCTCCGCTCCTCTCTCCTTCTGTTTCTCTCTCCCTCTCTCCTTCTGTTTCTCTCTCCCTCTCTCTCTCTCTCTCTCCTGTCAGTCTGTCTGTCTGTCTGCCTGCCCGTCGGTCTGTCTGTCTGTCTGCCTGCCTGGCTGTCTGTCTGTCTGTCTGTCTGTACGTATGTATGTATGATCTGAATGAATGAATGATTGATTTGTACAATATGTACGGCTGTATGTCTCTCTTTGCCCTCGCTTTCTCACATTTGCTTCGCCTGAAACAGCGTCGTTTCAGGAAAGGTCGTTACTTTTCGTTGATTCGCTTGCTAGCTTTGAGCTTTGCAGAACTCAATCGTTGTCCGCAGGATGCTGAGACTGTCGGCGACGGCGGCAGCGGCAGCGGCTTTCTTCAACTTCGCCTTGGAGAAGCGAAGTGCAGCGAGATCGGCTCCTGCAGTGCCAGCCTGAAGGTACCTCACTGGAAAGCTTGTGCGAAAGAGTGGGACTTTGCCATTCTCGTTGTCACCAAAAAGTACTTGTTTCCCAAACTGTTGAACTCCACAATCGGAAAAATGGATTTGCAGGGATGTGCTGCGCGTGCCAAAGAACATGCCTCCCAGGCACATCTATGGACCAGTTCTGCTGAAGGTTTTTTCTGTTATGAGCTCGGAAATATAGGAAAGGATGCCATTCAGACATGCCACACAGAAAAGAAGAAGAAATGCGGCACCTTTCTGGAGGATCTTGGGAAGCTCGGCTGTTTGCCCTTTACTGTTTGCTTGGTCCCCACTTATAGAGGCATAGAGCCTATGAGCAACTTGTACCTAGAGAGATGTCGTCTTCTGAAGCATGCTCGAAGCTTGGCCAAGGAAGTTGAACGAAGGGCACATGCACAATCCGATTGCCTTGGTCCGGCTTCCGGCGGCAGCCACAGCAGCAAAGCCATGGAAGTGACCGCAAGGACTCTCGTCTGGCTCTGCAGTGGCAGAAGTTGCCTGAGGTAAACCGCAGAGGAGCTGACTCCCAGCGCCCACCAACCTACTGATGCTTAAGGAAGAGTTGGGGGGAAATCCAGATCTAGTCCCCTGTAATGGTCCCTATATTCAGACCCTCACGGCCCCCCTTCAGCATCAGAAAGCCAAGTAAGAGTAAGACAAGGACTTACCCACAATCCTGATGAGAGGAGGGCGTCTCCTGCTCATCAGCAGCCTGCAAGGGTTGCACTCCGAAAAAGACTCCCTGCAATGCTGGTGCTGCTGCTTGTCATGTCACAGCTTGCTGGGCCCGGGCCCCTCCTCCGTCATGTGATTTTCTCCAAGTTTTGATGAGGCCACAGCGAGCAGGCCTTCGGCAAGCAGGGTAGTTCAGCCAATTCTTTGTTGAACTGTGTTTTTTCTGGTTTCGATTCAGGTCTTGAAGATATGTAGGCTTGCCTGCGCTTCCATGGTGTCACGCTGACACTAACGGGATGCATTTTCATCTGAGCTCCTCTAAGTAGCCCGACTCAAGCAAAGCTCTCTAAAACTCGAGCCAAGCCAAGTCCCATCGGCCGCTGAATCATCGAGTCAACTGTCATTGCGTGCTATGTCGCCAAGCCCCTGGATTCCAAGATGATTGCCTTTATAGTTGTGGTCATAATGACTATCCTCATCACTGTAACTGTTGCTCTTACCATTGCGCTGCAAATACGCTCACCACTAGCATTGCTCGCATGATTCAGATACTTATGTCGTGATAACTTAGGCTAGCAGCTCCCTGAAGGAACCAGCCAGGCTAAGCCCTCGGATCCCTAAATCATCGATTGGCCTCTTGCTGTAAACTTATCAGGCTTGTTTTCCCTAAATCCTACTCGGTTTGGGTGCTGTTATCCCTCGACCAAGCTGGACGTCTTGCGATCACCAAAAGACACGAGGGTTCAAAAATCAAGCTGATGACTGCCAGTACCAGGATGGTCTGTACAAACGCTTAGAAGCTTCTGAAATCCTGCAGACTCCCCAAGTGGAGTCCAAAGAGCACTGAAATCCGTTGAAACCCTACGAAATCTGCGGTTGAAAAGCAGGATCCAAAGAAAGGGACAACTACTACATGTTGCGCAGTTGCATGCCACCCGGCACCCAAACAAAGGCAGTGCAACCGGAAGCGTTTACAATCCCTTAACGGCGACCGTTAAATGTCGCCCGGTAGGTAAGCTGCATGCAAGGCCAGAACTGACCAGTTTTCGCAGCTTCGGGCCGAAGCGGAGTTGGATCTCAATTTTTGTGACCGCTTGTGTGATTCCATGAAGATTCTGTTTTAAAAGTTAGCAGGCGTTTCAGTCAGTCCATTCGAAACTGTGTCTTCTTCTCGCTGCTTTGAAAACCGGGGCCATGCGCCTAGCAGGTCAGGACTCTCGGCCCCGGCGCTAACCTGCATGCACACGAACAGGACGAGATGATTTTTTGCACCCACTGTATTGCGGGCACCGTCGGTGATGCTTATTTCCGCCAAGCTTATGCGGTGAAAGTGGGGCGGGAACAGGCTGTCTGTAACGGGCACTTGTATGGGGAACGATGCTGGATGTCTTAACCTTCGTATGTTTTCGTAAAAGACTCGGAAGGGCCCTGGTAGCAGCCACGGACTCCAAGCCTTCCCTCAAATTGCAGATTCTTCTTGGCTGCCGAACTCGAGGGCCGCTTTCCGGCCCCAGAGATAACGGGACTGAGACGTACGCCAGCCCCAACATCTTCAAACGACATCAAGCCTCCCGGAATCCACAAAATGTTTATTCACCTGGGTGACAAACAATCGCGCGCACCCATGAAGGGACATATGAACACATTTGCAAACATTTCAATATTTCATGCGTCATCTTGAACCTATGAAGCTACAGAACAAGCGAATGCTGTTGCGATTGTCAGCCTGCCTGTCTATCAGTTTCTGCCTGCATGCGGGACACACGCATAAGATTGGTTGTGTGAACCTACTGAGTATCCATTTAGCAGCACACGCATGTGTGTCAGCGTGCCCCAATGCCTCGATGTCTTTGTCCATTTTTATTTGCCTTCTTCAGGGATGCCCGTGTTGGACCGGTTTTCGGTTCCCTACTTTTAAGATCATAAAAGTCTCCCGCCCATGTTTCCGATGACGGTTCCTATTCGTTCGTGTTATGCTCGTCGCCTGGTCGCTGTTAACTCGGCCGCTCGTTTCCGTTACGGTGTCTTCCGACCGGTTTTCGTTACGCCCCAAAGCTGTTCCCGATATTCGCCACACCCGATGCAAGTGCCAGTCGTCACCGTGACGTGCTGCCAGGCCGACATACGATGTGATGGCCTTCCAGGTCTCAAGCCTCATGGAGTCCCTGAACAAGCAGCTGCCTTACCTCCTCGGTTGCAGCCAAACAGATTGGGTCAGTGTTGCTTTCCTTCAGGTTGGATCGCGACTGCCGTCTCCTGACGAAAGAGATGCAGGTCCTCGCTTCAGATCCGAAGAGCGCGAAGCACCGAGCCCAGTTGCTGCCGAGTCCGGGTCTTCGTGTCACGACGTGTGTGGCATGCCGCTTCAATCCTCGGCGACACGGTGCCAGGGCCAGGCTTGCGTACCAATCAACCCTGACGAACGCCACGGATGGACAATCACTGCACTCACAGGGGCTGAGGACCGGAGGCAAACAAGCTCACCACAGTCAGAATAGCAGAATAGCAGCCGTCTCGTTGCAACGTTGAACCACGGACTCTTGCTTCACTTTCACGGGTGGGCTGGTGCTGCGTTGTCCGCTGGAGCCATGCGCCCTTGTTTCAGGCCCAAAGGTGCAGCAAGTGCAGCCCTGTTTTCAGAAAAGTGTCCTAAGGCTCACTGAAGCACAGCTACACAAAGTGCCTTCCATGGAGCCATACGAGTTTATTCCCTCTCTGCAGATATTTGCGGATGTCTTTCTCTTCAGTAAAGGCCGTGTCTACCCTTCCTCCTTTTTCTCTGTCTGTCTTCCTGTCTGTCTGTCTGTCGGTCGATCTGTCTGCCTGTCCTGTCCCGTCCTGTCCCGTCCGTCCGTCAATTTGTCTGTCTGTTTGTTTGTCTGTCTGTCTGCTTGCCTGTCTACCCGTTGTTGTGGGCCTGTGTCTGTCCCTCTCTTCTCTCTTTTCCCTCTCTTCTCCTCTCTTCTCCTCTCTTCAGATTCCCTCGAGGGGCGACTCGGGCCCGATGAGTTTGTATACACACACATATATATATATACACACATGTATATACTTGTAAATTGTATCATATGTTGTTTTTCTATAATTCGTTTTCTTGTTCGTATTGCAGATCACCTCCATGAAAATACGCACATATCACATAAACACATGCCTCTTTTCCGGATCCCAGTTGTGCCAGCTTTTGGCAGAGCAGGGCGCATGCAGAAAGCCACTAATCTGCCCGCAAACTGTTCCTTCATCCCGTTATGCATGACTCTCAGATGTGCCGAGGACTCCAAAGAAGGCGACAAATTTGCAGGAGATGAAGGTGGGTTGATTGGTTGTGCAGATGTCGAAACATCTCCCGTTCGGTTGCTTTGATACAAGTGTTGGATGCACTTTGTCTACAAGAAGATTAAAATGTTATATATATATATATATATATATATATATACACATGCACATCAGGTCCACATTATGGGCCTCCACAGGCTACTGGACAAGGACTTTTGGTGGGTGACGGACGCATGTCTTCAGATGCATCATAGGATTCAGAAAAGTGACCAGGAGGGGGCAGCTCACATGCACAAGCTTGAGGCCATGGGATCTGGTTCTCCTTCTCTAATTTTGTCATTCGGGGAACTAAGAGCTGTGAGTCATACCTGCAGTGGTTCTTGCCTGAGCATCTGTTCCTGTCTGGTGGTCTCAGCACCTTGCACTCATTCGTTTCAGATTACGCCCTCAGTAAGTGGTGGTCGAGGCCGTGCAGAAGAATTTGAAAGAAGTCAAGCAGCAAGCCGACAAGGCAAATGCGTGTACTCAGTGAGCGGGCCATAAGACACCAACCTGTGCATCAGGCCGCCGGGTCGTCCATCTCGAAGATAGTCGACCAAACTTCTGTGCTCGAGAAGAGCGTGTGCAACTCAAGACCTGATGCCGTGAAACCCTTAGGCTGCATCAGTGTTACGTTCAAGCGCCCAGGTTGTGTCCAGAAGTTCGCAGATGTGTTGCACTTACTGAGTACAAGCTGTCAATAGGAATGTCAAGGTCCAGTCGCAGACAAAGAATTTGTCCGGGTCATGCCGTAGCAGCACTCTAAGGCTTCAATACGGGGAATGCTGAAGGTCTTGGATGCTGGTGGTTCTTCTAGTGGCCACGGTGACAATTGGCGTACTGATGTGGAACAGGACACTGACAGTCTCCGGTCAAGACGCGTGTCGTCCCGCACGGCTGTCAGGATGAGATACTACGAGAAGAAGCATTTCATCTGAGTCTGCCCACAAACAAGATGTCGAAGGCAGGGCTAGGACATTGAGAAGTGCGTTGGGATGCAACCGGACCGGAACAGAGCAGGACGGCCCTTTGATGATCATCATGTCGGTCTCGCTCTGATGGCGGATGTGGAAGTAGCGCCGCAAGCTGTGGACGAGCAGACCTCGGCAGCTGCTCTTTGCGACTGCCAGAGCGCGGATCCCCACTCCATGCCAGCCCAGTGCAAAGATGTGCACAGGCTGACGAAGCCAGGCGCAATCGCTTCAAAACGAAGAATCCGCGACATTCGTCACATGCAGAAGCCCCCAATGTATGTTGTCTTCATGATGTCCTCATAGCCAGGGGCCAGGCCGATCGGGCTTGTTCATGCACTCACAGGCCCAAGACTCGGCAGCTTCCTCACTAAGCCCCAGAGCAATGGCCAGTTTTTCACTTCTTTGGGCCTGGCTCTTTGCGGCATCTCTTGCGGAAGTCGCCTCGACTGAGTTCTTCAAAATTCGCAGCGCTCTTGCCCCAGACAAGTGCATCACCCGCTCCGACTACTACCAGCGTTTCCTGGAGTTGCGAGAATGCTCAGCCGGCTCAGCCGGCTCAGCCGCAAGGGGACGGAACTCAAATGATGTTTGGTACTTCAACAAAACATGGCTTGTCAACCTCGAGCAACTTGATGACGGTGATGGGACCCTCCAAGCGATGTGTGTCACCTTTGACAGGGCATACTACTATCACCACGGGCGCCCCTTATGGCTCCGCGCCTGTCAAGAAGGCCAGCCAGGCATGGATTGGGTTTGGGAAGATGACCACATCAGACACGTCCACACTGCTTACGTCTTCGACCTGCCCGGTCACAACATTACCGACTTGGGTCGCAATCGCACAGCGCCAGACTGGCAGGACCTGAGCTGGTTTGGATGGCCACAAGTTCAGCTTGGATCCCGAGACAATTCAACCTCAAGTGACCAAGTTTTCTTCAAGGAGATTTTGTCAAGCATGGAGAACCGCAGCCAGTCCTTCGAACCCCTTCCGGCAACGGAGGTCCTGCCCGATTTTCCACCGGAAAACTACAATCTGTGCCCGGATGGATCCTTTGGTGAGCGAAATGTATGTCCATGGCATCGCAGGGCGTATCAAGAGGAATGGTTGTGCAAGGGTGGCACTCTAACGCAACGATGTGTTTGTTTCCCAGGATACTTCCCTCTCGTAGTGGGATATCTTCCAAATGTGAGTCACTTGGGCGAGCTTGCTTACACCTGCTGCCGAGGGGAAAGCAACTCCGACGGGTGTGGAGACATCGTGATTTGGCTTCCGCTCGCTGTTGCTTTGACTATCCTAGGTGGTCTTGGTGTGTTGACAACCAGCCTGATGATCTACTGCCACAGCCCAAGCATAGCCCCTGCTACAGAAGAAGATCTTCATGTTCTTTGTCCGCAACTCGTGCATGACGGTGCGGTCGTACACAGAACAGTGGAGCAAGCAAAGTGGGGTGTGAGCTTGGACGACTTGTACCAGTTCAAGCGGTTGGTGCATCATGCTGTGAAGTCAGGGAGTATCAGGCCAACAGATCTAGACTAGTTTTCTGCATCAGACGTAATGGTAGGGCCATCGGCATACACTGTCAACGATCAGATGATCCGCCCGGTGACTGCAGCTGCTGGAAATGTGAGTTGGGCGTTGATGAAGCACCCTGAGGGGTGCTTATGCGACCTGTTCGTCACTCACGGCTGGGCTGAGGGCGTTTTTGACTTTGTCGAGAAGGTTGTGAGTTCCTGGCCAAGAGCAGCTAGAGGGGCGTACGTTTGCTTCCTGTCCAATCCACAAAACCTGGACATTGCGGATTTGATACAGTCGCCGAGAGAGTCGCCATTTGCCACTGCTTTGAGTAAGTCGTCGTCCATGCTCGTGGTGCCAAATCATGTGTCCAGTATTTACACAAGGGTTTGGTGCCTTGGCTGTTCTGTGGTTGGTTCTCACGCCTTTAGCTTTTTGGGTGTTTCTCTATTGTTTGGGAAAAAAGTGGCAAACTTTGTGGAGGGGCTCACAAGTCAGCCAAGGTGCGTTTACGAGGCGTTTTTGGCTGCTGCCTGGGACAAGCCAATTGGGCTTGCACAGCGGCCTTTGTTAAACCAATGGCCCAGGACACTTCGCGTTGTAAGCACTGGCTTCGCTGGCTTCGGAGCGGGCATGTTGTATCCACTACCAGGACTCGAGTGGTACGGCATAAGCTGGGACAACTGGGCTTTGCACGAGAACTTGTGGCTTGCTTTCACTTGCACGGGCCTATCACTCGTTGCCTTTTCGTCGCTGACCACGACCTTCACCTGCTGCTTCAGGAGAGCGACGGCGACAATCCCAATAGCAATTCATTGTATGACTGCCTCCCTTACATTTTCCATAGCGATGAGGGCCTCCTTCGATGGTTTGACTAATCTGCCAAATCTTTTTCGCCTTGTGTTGATAGGCGTTGGATCAACGGGACTGGAGGTGGACTGGCACCGCACCACAAGAGCTTTGCAGCAAGCAGATCAGCTCGCAAAGGGCTTCGCAGGAACCGTCAGGCAGGCCACAAGCTCGAGTGCCGAAGATCTCCGAAGAATCCTTCACGAGATTGAGGAACATGAGCAAGTAGATGCCATTGACGACATGATAGCTTCGTTGATTGCAATCAAGATTTCTACCGTGCAGACCCGCTCGGTGCTGAAGGTGACGGGTCAACTCAAAGACATGTCGGATTGGAGCAGAGCCTTGTTCTCTGTGACCGCTCTCGGGTTAATCTGGCAGTTCCGACAGGTGTACGTTTACAGGATTATGGAAGATGGCATGGTCATGGGATGGCTCTTGAGGGTGTTTGCTGGTATTGAAGCCCTGCTTTGGCCAATAATCTTCCTCAGTCATCCAGTCGAGTCAAAGGCATTCGCAGAGAGATGTGTGAAAGTCTGCGTGCTGCTTCTCCCAGGCTGGATTGGTGAAGCGTGGTTGGGGGTCTCCTTCGAAGTTGTCGCGCACATGTGCGTGATCCCCCTAATGATGATCCTAGCGGCTCTTGGCCCAGGACGGATCTCTCGCGCCCCGGTTCTTGGACCAGCCCTGATCCGCATGCTGTTTTGGCAGATTCCGTGCCGCCCAAAAACAGGGCTGAGGCACCCGAAGGGTGACCAGCCTATTGACAACGATAACGCTGAGCACCCGAAGGGTGACCAGCCTATTGACAACGATAACGATGGAGTGATTTCATTCTAAATGCCTGCGGCTGTTGAAGATTATGCTTTTTCATGCAGGTGGGAAAAAGGAAGCATCTGGAAGCTGATTGATTCGTCGGTGCCGAGCCTCCCGGTGTGGGCTCTGTATTTCATTGTTACAGCTTATCCTTACGATTGGGAAGGTGAGGGCGGAGGGGGTGGTGAGAGTGAGGGCGAGGAGGGCGGGGGACCCTTTAAACAGAAATACCGTTACATTTGCCTTATCTATACCTTCTCTACCACATTTGGACCACCTCATTTATGTTCTGTATGCTTGCATCACACTTTAACGGTCCGTGCTGTCCATTTTGGATCAAGACGGACTTTTCAGCAGAGACAGCTAGGTTTTCCCTTGTGCAGCCATGTCCTGGGTTCAGCAGGTCAGACGCAGCGAGCGCGCAGTTGTTCACCTGTTATATAACGCATCACAAGTTCTAGGGGTTGGTATATGAGCAAGTCTATCTGCAAGTGCGGATGGCTGGTCACATAGAAACAACAATATTCGATCATATTCTATCTGATTGGTTTTACACGGATGGAAATATTCTATCTGCAAGTGCGTGCGTTGGTAAAAGTGGCCGAAGATATTCCTTGTTTTTTTACGCGGATGGAAATATTCCATCTGCAACTGCGGAGGGTTGGTAAAAATCGGTCATTTTACCAAACTTAAAAAGTATTCTATCTGCACGTGCTTGAAATATCATGTTCTATTTGCAAGGTTCCCACTATAGGGGTTCGCGGACTTCACCTGGGTGACAAACGAATGCGTGCACACATGAGGGGACATATGACCGTATCTGCAAGCATTTCAATTTTTCTTGCGTCATCTTGAACCTATGAAGCTACACAACAAGCGAATGCTGTTGCGATTGTCAGCCTGCCTGTCTATCAGTTTCTGCCTGCATGCGAGACACACACACATAAGGTTGGTTGTGTGAACCTACTGAGTATCCATGTAGCAGCACACGCATGTGTGTCAGCGTGCCCCAATGCTTCGATGTCTTTGTCCATTTTTATTTGCCTTCTTCAGGGATGCCCGTGTTGGACCGGTTTTCGGTTCCCTACTTTTAAGATCATAAAAGTCTTCCGCCCATGTTTCCGATGACGGTTCCTATTCGTTCGTGTTATGCTCGTCGCCTGGTCGCTGTTAACTCGGCCGCTCGTTTCCGTTACGGTGTCTTCCGACCGGTTTTCGTTAAGCCCCAAAGCTGTTCCCGATGTTCGCCGCACCCGATGCAAGTGCCTTCCCGTCATCGGACTGCTTACATAGTTCTGACCTCACACGTTGTGCAGGGCGGGCTTTGTGTGTATGGGTCGATTTGAGTTTCGCGGCATATTTGATTTATTTGACCGTGACGTTTGTGTGGAATGGTGCGGTTCCAAACAGATTTGTTATGGACGAGCATCAGTGCGCTTGCCTCTGTTGCAAGGCGCTGTCCTGGATCTGTTGGCATGGCAGAGACGGCGTGCCGTGATTCTACCAACAAGTCGTTGGTTGGTGCCTGTGACGTGCCAGCCTCGCTGGGGATTCCCTGCAGCCCGGGTGCTGCATCACAATTCAGGGAGGCTGTCAACATGTAGCCCGAAAGGTGTTAGAGCCCGTTGCTGTCTGCAAACGTTGCTACTGCGACGGGGTAGCTGCCTGCCAACTCCTACTCCTAGGGCGGTGATCGGCAGTATGCGAAGCATGACAGTGACTGTGTAAGGTGATGCGGCTTTTCGAAAGTGAAGATTTGGATCTGCCCCATTCGTCAGTAGAGACACTGTCAGCACACTCGTGATGCACTGTCTGACTGCTCTCTCGCAGCATATTGTCATGGGCATTCGCACAGCACATCTACTGATTTACCATGCAGTCAACAAGTTGTCCTGGGGCATGTCAGGCGCCAAGGGCTATCTCAAAAGTGTGCCGCCTGAGGCGCCCTCCGGCACGTCAAGTGCCCTGTCTCATTGACCGCTCGGATTGAGCAGTAGCTTGCGCATTGCATCATACCGTCCTTAGACGTTTGATCCAGCATGCCAGCCCGCCAGTGAGTTTGTGACAAAGTCGTCAACTCCCTGTATGTGGCTCAGCAGCCGCCTTTTTTGCAGTGTTAGCTTCGACCACACTATATTCAGAGCCGTTTGCCGGACGCTTTCGCCATTAGTTGACATGAAACCGCACTGTGGCATTAGCTTAGCTTCATGGCGCTTGTCAGCGGACATGGGAATTTTTAGGTCGACATGGCTTTATTGTCATGATGCACTACCGCCGCCTTGCGCAAGGGTACCACAGGCTGGGGGCAATCGCAGTCCTGGCACAGTTGAAGGCGTACGCCAGGCCATGTTGGACGGCATATTCGTGGCCGTGAGTTACTTGCGCTTTCAGAGTCGCTCGTGCCATTTTATTCGCTGGTCCCGTGCTTGCAGGCATAGCACCCAGGTTCTGCGGGAAGCCGCGGCCAACTTTTCAGAATGCTGGCAGCTCGGTCGACGTGTTACAGGAATGGGATTGCCAGAGCAGCTTCGATTCCGGGATTGCACCTTGTCAGGCTCAAGAGGTGTCCCGAAAGGACACCTGAAAAAAGCGTAACTAGGTCCCTTCTTGTTGGCCAAGTGCACATGGGTGGCGAGCCCAGCAAAGATGTCGAGGCGAGGTTGGCTCGCCAAGAGGAGAAGCTCAAACAGGATTTCGAGCTTCTGGGTTGTGCTTTGGGATAGCTTTCAATTTCCTTTGTTTCCTTAGAAAAGTAATTTTCAAAGGGTTTAAAGTTTAAAGTGCAGCCCAGGCTTTCGAAGGAAGCTCTGAGGGAGCTGGACCAGCAAACTCGCGTCCCGCACCTTCTCCTTGAGATCAGATCTATGGGCTTTGTAGAGACTTAGGGGTACTTAGAAATACTTTCTAATTTTTGGTTATTATAATCCCTAAGAAACAGCTACACTTATAATTTTTGCTAGGGTTCTAAGTTCAGTATAGGAGATCCAGGCAAAGATACCGGAGGCATCTACCAGCGCCTAGACCAGTGGCTGAAAGAGCATTGGAAAATGCAGGAGAAGCAGGAAGACCTGATTGAAGTTTGCAAAGAGGAACCAGATTGTGGATGCTGTGGCTACAGCACCACCGTCAAGGTCGGCAAGATGGAGGAGCACCATCGCCTGTGTGACAAGAGCTACACCATGGGTCCACTGGGCCCGGACGGCATCCCAACAGACCCCCACAAGATCTACAAAGCTCATACCAGAGGGATTGAGGAGTGGGGCGCAGTTGAGTCATTTGAGGCTGAGAACAACATGGGCAAGTTGACGATGCAGCTCGCACATTTCATGACCCAGGAGTGTGGTTGGACACTTCAGGTTTGTGATGCCGCGAATCTTGGGCGAAGAAGGTGCATCCGAGAACAGCAGATGAAGTTCAAGGCACCCCACCCACTGAGCATGATCGCCCCACTGGTGATGATTGAGCTAGGTGTGGGGCGGTGGGACCCTGTCAGAGAAACGACGAGCAACATCTATGTGCATGGTGCAGACAGCGATGGCATCTTCGAGAAGCTGCGCAGCTTCTTCCAAACGGCATGGGCAGCCAAGGAGAAGGATGCTGATCCAGGTTACTGCGACATGAAGTTCGAAACATGTGCCTTGCAAGAGCGAGGGTTCCAGGGAGAGAACAACATGGGGCAGAAAGCCATGGAAGCTGTTGATTTCATGGTGAAGAAGTGTCAATGGTCTTTGGTCTCGCGAAGCAACGGCTGCTTCGGAAAGTCTGTGGACATGCGAGAGCAGCAGCTGGTTTTCCGCAAGGATGAGTTTATCCAGCGCGGCTCAGATCACATTATAGTCGAGTTTCGGACGGTTGGCTACGTCGAGATCACGGGTCTGCAGGACTGGGAGTTAGGATTAGAGGGACCCTCGGGGATATAGACCCTCTCAATAAGGCCCCTTTTAAGAGAGCCAGAAGTAGGGTTAGGAAGGGGTAGCCTTTCAGGGGTCTTCCTCACAAGGACGCGGAAGACCTCAAGCCTCGCTTGGCCGAGTACTTCGAGAAGCAAGAGTGCCATAGCTACGACACCCCATATCCGGAGAAGCTCCTTTGTCTTAGTAGGGTAGCATTTTGCGTGTTTGTGGACACTTAAGCCCAATAAGGAATGACAGTTTCAATTTTTCAAGACTATCTCGACCCTAAACCCTGAACCCCTAAACCCCTATAAACCCGAAACCCTAAACCCCTAAACCCGAAACCCTGAACACCTAAACCCCTAAACCCTAAAACTGGGTTCTGCGACCTGAAGTACAAGGTCCCTTCAGAGTTCTTCTTCCGCGACGGCTACACAACCAACCTCGGAAACTTTGTCACAGTTGGGTATTTTTTTTTTTTACATTTTTTTGGGTACTTAAACCCAAGAAAGAATTAAACATGTAAATTTTTTTATCCTATCCCAACCATGAGCTAGGAAAGCTGACGATGAGCTTAGCGGATTTCCTGGGATCAGAGGGTTGGGCTTTGGCTCTCTCCAACAGCAGCGGTTTCGGTTCCTTTGTCATAGTTAGGGTAACATTTCATATTTATTGGGGTACTTAAACCAATAAGGAATAAATAAAGACATTTTTAATCCTATCCCAACCATGAGCTAGGTGCCTCCATCAAGGAACACCAGGTGACCTTCACCCGTAGCCCTGAGAAGGCATCGGCACCTTTGTTGATGATTGAGCTGCGCACCATTCCCTTGCCCAACTTTCCTCCGAGCTGGCACAGCGCGATTCAGATCACGGGGTCTGATACCAATGGAGTCTACGGGCATTTGGACCGCTTCATCCGGAAGTATATGAGTGGGCGCGAGATAAGACATCCTGATGCTGCCTCCTACTGCGATAAGTACTACTCCTGCAATGCCTTTCGCTTGAAGCCCGCCAGCTTCCGCGAGAGTTGCATGGGAATGGTGAATGGAGACACTGGGTTCTTCTTAAGGGATCTAAAATTTCAGTTGCCGTAATCTTACTTTCGATCCCTATAGTTATAAGTAACTTAAGTTAAGCTCCTTAAGAAGAGCCCAGGAGAGCGACCTTGGCAAGTGGACCATGCGCCTCTGCGATTTGATGGTGGATCATGTAGGTGAATGGGACTTGGTCACGTGCAACAGCGACAACGCAGAGGAGCCTTTGCCATAGTTGGGTAGTAAGGAATATCAAAAGGATTTTTTTGTCATAGTTGGGTAGTGATCAGGAATAAAAGAGTAAGTTTTTACTATTATCCCAAGCATGAACCAGGGTTATGGAATCAACACCACTGCCCGGGAAATGCAGATGATCTTTCGACACCGCAAAGGCGGGCGACGGGTCTTCATGTCGGCTGCCCAGGTGGAGCCTTTGGGGAGGCCGCCACTTCAGCCTCCAGGCTACTGGAATGAAGGCTGCCAGATGGGGGAGGTTGGCCACAAGCTCATCCCAGGCACCGAGGAGGAGTTGCAATGGATGCAGGAACTCCTGGATAAGACCTTCAAGAGCAAGGTGGGAGTTTCCAAAAACAGGGGACCCTAATCTAGTACCCTAAATAGTAGGATCCTTAATAAAGGGATCCCCAAATAAGGTACCCCCCCAATTTTCGGAAACTCCCAGGTGACGCGTGATCGCAAGGATGGGCAGGCCTTGGCAGATCGGTTTGTGGCGGTCCAGTGCATCCGCAGCGAGCATCCTGCGATTTGGGATCGCTTCGCAAAACGTCGCCAGCTCTTGCCAGCCGGAGGTTCGGAAGTCAGTCTTCCCAAGACGATGCTCTGTCACAGTTGGGTAACATTTTTGCATTTTTATGGGTGCTTAAACCCAATAAGGAATATAAATGTACAGCTTTTAATCCTATCCCAACCATCCCTAAACCCTAAACCCCTAAACCTAAACCCTAAACCCCTAAACCCCTAAACCCTAAACCCTAAACCCCTAAACCCCTAAACCCTAAACCCTAAACCCTAAACCCCTAAACCCCTAAACCCTAAACCCTAAACCCTAAACCCCTAAACCCTAAACCCCTAAACCCTAAGGATGGCTGCCAGTTCCGGCCTGGCGAAGAGGTGTGTCGAGGTCTCGGCAGGCAATCCTTCAAACGAAGCTAGGATGCCCAGTAGTACCCTTATTCCCTTTTTGTAGTCCTAGGTTCCTTATAAAGTTACCCAATATCAAAAAGAGAGGCCTTTTTATTCTTAGGTTACTGGGTATCCTAGGAAGCTTACTTGCTCCATGGGACCAACCCAACCTCGGCTGTGGCCATCCTGAGCAACTCCTTCACAGTAGCTGGGTAGGGCTTTGGGACATTTTATATTTTCGCTTATTGGGCTTAAGAGGATCTTACTAGTATTTTTCAAAATAATTGAAAGCCCCACCTAGGTAGACTTTGCTGGGAAGAGTGCTGGCACCATGTTTGGTCCTGGCATCTACTTGGCCGAGAGCTCTACGAAAGCGGACGAGTATGCCCAGGATGATGCTACTGGGGACTATGCCGAACTCTACGCCGTCCTGGTCTGCAGGGCTCTTCTAGGAAAGCCCTACGTGACCGAAGAGCCCGGTGATTTTCGAGAGCAGGTGCTCAGTGGGGAGTTCGGCCATGTACTGGGCGATCGCGAGAAGGCCGTGGGCACGTTCCGAGAGTTTATCTTCTTCCACGAAGCCGCTGTCTACCCTGAGTACGCCGTCTTCTACCGGAGGGAGAAAGATGGCCGAGTCATGCCAAGGAACGAAAGTGAGATGGCGCCTCGCCCCATGGAAATGGAAGTCTGACCGCTTCTGCCTTGTTTCTCCCCTGCCACCGGTCACCGATATGTGGCAGATCCCGCCGTTCGATGTTTGTCCAATCCCCTTGCTTTTTTTCAGCGGTTCCAACGAGATCATTTCCCGCAGCCTTGCTGCAAGCCTTCCGAACATCGGAAGGCCAAGTGAACTTGTTTCTGCGCCTGGCGCTCTTGGACATTTCTTGGGCTGCGCTGATGTGCGGTGCGCCTGCATTTGAAAC